ATGGATTTTCAATTCCTGGCAAATCTTGTTTTATCTGTACCTCCACCTACTTCTCCAATTCTATATTAATTAGAAGGAAATAATAGATATCCGTTCTTCTGTAGATTTGGTTCATATATACGATACACATAACCATAACTTTATCACCCTAAAAATATATTTTATGTAATATAAAATTTAAACTAAGTAATTTAGTATCATATATTTTGGAAAATCCAGGGTCCCAATTTCCATTTGTCTCCTAAATGCCATGACATTTATTTTTAGAGTTTGTCTGAACTGGGATCCAGATGAGGTCCACATTTGATTCACTGATGGCTGGCATGTACCTGAAGTCTCTTTTGACCTGTAGCTTCTCCCTCCCTCTCGCTTTTTCCTCTGGCCATTTATCTGCTGAAGAATCTGAGTTGTCTGTCCTGTAGCATTTCTACCTGCTGCGTTATGTTGAACGGCATCATCAGAGTATCCTTCAAAATGTCCCTCTACCCTGTTCTTCCTGTAAATTGTACATTTTCATGACTCAGCTTTGGGACCACCCAGGCCAAGCACAGCTTGGACCAAACTCCAGCCAAGTTATACTCGTGAGTGAGAAGAAGTAGTTGTTGTTAGAAGCCACCGAGTTTTGAGGTGCCTTTGTAGACACATCAGTGAGGCATATAGGTTAGTACCTTTTAAAATCACACATAAGATGAAGATTATAGAAGATATTTCCGGCTGCTTTATATTCTACTCACATTTTGGATAGGACTTGGCATAGTCAGGTTCTAGAACTTTCACGTCACGACTGGAAATGCAGGCAGTCCCGGACATCTGTCCCTGATCCTGGAACTGTAATTATTCATGTTTGACCCTTGAGAGCACATGGCTTCAATAAATTAGACACTGGCTTGTTGAGTTTTTGAAATCCTCTCATAAAAGCAGGGGTTCTAAGTGACACTAACAAGACCTTTGCAGGAGGGGTGCAGCGAGCCTGTTGCCACACAGTGCACAGCGTCTAGACCGTCTCTGCCTCTTGCCTGGCCCACCGCCCGCCGTGCACTCCGGGAAGGCCGCTCCTGCGGGTGAGACACCCTGAGGCCTTCACCGGAGAGCAGTACTTACACCTCCCGCTTCTTCCCTAGCTTCCTCCTTCAGTTAGGACTAATGCAGTTTTTTCCTCTTATTAACCATGTTCAGACTAATAAAGTTCAGAGCTTATTCTTACTTTCTTATTCCTTAAGGAAGTCTCTGTTCAAGAGTTTTTTTGCAGATTGAGGGAATGAAAAGGATCCCTCCTTTCCATCTCTATGCATGCTTCTCTGACTTAGATCCTACAGAGAAAGACAAAAACATACCTTTTAACGCTAGGCCACTGAGAGCACAGAGAATGAAATGCTGCAGAGGAAGACTCAAGTTAATTCAGATTCAATAAATTTTGAGTTGTAACAGACACACTGAATATACCGCCTGAATTTCTGGAATAGACCCATGGAGGTCTAGTGATGGGGCTCATCAGGGCCTGAACCAGGACTAGAGAGCAGAGATCTGGGCTGGGATTCCAGCCATTCGGTCCAGACATCTCACCGTCAAGTGGGTAAGGAGGAGAGGGACCAAGTGGGAAGGAGGGGACCGGGCCGTGCTCTTCCAGGGCGAAGACAAGTTATCCAAGGGAGGGGTGAGAAATCCCATGATGGCAAAGCTCCTACTGATGACAACTGGGGAGCTGTCACTGGAAAGGGGCCAGAGACCTGTGCTGAGCACATGCTCTGTACCATCTCTAATGTTTAAGAAGTACCTACCTCTTTCAGTTGTCTTCAGTGGACGTGGTACAAAAATTGGCTGCCATTACCTCAAACAGGGAAACTGTCCCTGGCTTTTTTTTTTTTTTTTTTTAAGATTTTAGTTTATTTGAGAGAGAGAGCACACGCATAAGAGAGAGAGCAGAGTTGGAGGGAGGGGCTGAGACAGAAGCAGGCTCCCTGCCCAGCAGGGAGCTGGAGATGTGGGCCTCCAACCCCGGACCCCGGGATCATGACCTGAGCTGAAGGCAGGCGCTTAAAAGACTGAGCCACCCAGGTGCCCCTGTCCCTGGCTTTTCTGAGTACTATTTTACATTCTACATTCACAGTAATGATTTTATTGAGGACACTTTCTTCTAGAGCTTATTCAGGTTCAGCTATCACCATGGAGGCAGTGTGATCAGGACAGAAAGCAGAGGCTGACAAGACAGCCACCAAGTCAGGGGCCTCTCACCATGGGTTCCACGGATGGAGCTGATCTTTCTAGAAATCACAGTTCAAAGCAGATTTTGCCAGTCTGTGGATGTATCTGCAACTTCCACAGCAAACTAACCAATCTTCATTCTAAAATTTTACATCTGTGGAAGACTTTAACCCCAATAGAAGAGGTAAGTTGGTAATTAGAGAAGTTTTTGTTACAACTGAGAACTTCCTAATGGCTTATAGAGCCTTAAAAAACAAAAAACAAAAAAACCCAAACTTGCCTGAAAATATTCATGCTTTACCGAATGTACTATTAAAAGCTCCATTATTTCACTACCTCCTTCTGAAAACACATAGCTCACTTGTTTGCTTTTCAGTACTGAAGAGAGGGAGGGCCAGGGGCCGCCGACTCACGACATCACATACAGCAGGCTGCCACTAACTGGCCTGCAGGGAGGGCCCAGCTGCTCCCTGTGCCTGGAGCTCCGCATTGTTCTTGAAGAGCGTATCCAAAATCCACCAGGGGCTGACCTTCTTCCACATTATAAAATATAGCACAAGGACCAAAACCTGAGAGAGAAAGTAAGAAATCAGGGAGCTCTGGATTGATGGTGTTTTTATATAAAAATAAGTCGTATTTGAAGGATCCTAGAATTAATTGTATCTTTACCTAACTCAGAAGATAGTCTTTCAAAATAAATGTACTACCAGAAAGTTTCTAACCTTAAATTTATATTAAAATTGGATGCTAAATTCATGTGCTTAAAAAAAAGTGTGATGTCCATGAAAATGGGGGACCCATTGTGTCAGTGAAAAAGCACTTGTAAAGATTTGCTTTCTAAAGAGTAATGAGAAAACTGGCAAAAATTCCCAAAGGCAGGCGCCTGGGTGGCTCAGTCGTTAAGCGTCTGCCTTCGGCTCAGGTCATGATCCCAGGGTCCTGGGATCAAGCCCCGCATCGGGCTCCCTGCTCGGCGGGAAACCTGCTTCTCCCTCTCCCATTCCCTCTGCTTGTGTTCCCTCTCTCGCTGTGTCTCTCTGTCAAATAAATAAAATCTTAAAAAAAAAAAAAAAATTTCCCAAAGGCAACTTTTTTCAGAAGTGGGGGAACTAACCAAAGGCCTGGAGCAAGCTGTGTGTTTTACTCAAGTAAGCTGGCCGAATCTCAGTAAGAATAGCATACTATGATGTTCCCAACTCTCCTGTTCCATCCCATCTCCAGCTCGACAAGTTACCTGGAAAACCAGCAGCCTGGGAATCACTGGAGGGAGCCCAACAGGGGTGGGAGCTCCTCCCAAGCTTGTAATGGTTGTTCCCTAGAAAACTGTCTTCATGAAGGCCATCTTCATTTTACTAGACTCAGCTCTCTCTCAGGCTGAGGGGTCTTTTCCTGAGGGGATGTTTGTCTAGATGATTACAGGCAATTGTGTAATTTTGTGGCTGCCTGAGATGGTGAACAGTTGGGGCTAATCCAAAGGCTTAAAAGGAAAAGCTGGGAAATGAGATGTTCACAGGGGCTTTGAAACCTGGTATCCAGAAGGCCATGCACATCCTAGGGCTGCACACATCCTCATGAAGAACCTGAGAAGGACCCAAGCTTTCACCTCTGGCTGCCCCTGGGGATCTATGCAAGCAGGCAGCACTCACTAGGAATGGCAAAACCTGCGTTATAAAACGGATTCTATAAAATAATCAACCAGTCAGTCACCCTACCCTTTCTGTGCCTCTCATTTCTCCACTGGATGAACATGTATACATGGGAACCTGTATGACTGAGGATAAAAGTACGTGTTTGTGAGAGAATATACACGTGGTTATTCATGGACGGACTTTAAATTCTAGATGGCTAAGAAATTGTTTGCATGCATATTTGTATTTTTTCATAAAGGCTCTTGTTTTTATCATATAAAGGGGTCAACTAACCCAGAAAACAGTTATGAGAGACTAGGTAAGATTAACTGGGAGGTCTTTTATAATAGCAAATTCTAAAGGAACGAGATTTGAAAACCACACACACACACACACAAACACATTTGCTGTCAGTGAGTAGAGGCTTTTCAATATTATCTATGTGTGTCTTTTTATTTTATGGAGGAAGGATGAGAGAAGCAAGTAGAGTAGCCAGAAAGATAAAAATAATAAAAAGCCAAAAACATACACAAAAGTTAATCACGTAAGAATTGGCAATATATTCAAATAACTGCAAGCCTATAGGAAATATAAATTACTTCACGTTGAATTTTTTGTCTATTGATTTAATATATTATTTCCGTACTAACCCCAAACCTTATTTATGAAAAATTAAGACCAACTTTAAGAAGCTTCAATATTCACTTTTATTATTTATAAAAAATTAAGGTATCAGAATGCATATGGTATATACTGTGATCTTGGTTTTGCACATTTATTCACCTGTTTGCGTTATTTCAACATATTTCATAAACATACCATACGTGTATCTTTACAATACCTGATAAAGATTTAGCTGTCTGGCACTTATACATGTATTATTAGTTCATTCTGATGCTCTGCATGTCAAGAGGATGTTAAAAATGATTGACCTGAAATAATGCCAAGATGAAGATCTAGATTTAGTGAAGCAGTTACGCTCCAGCAATTGCCACACATTTATTTGTGCCGGTTTTATTTTTTCCCCTTAATTGAGTGTAAACTTTTGCAAAAAAAAAAAAAAAAAAAGAAATCTGGAAATGAAGTTGTGTTACTTTTTAGTCCAATAAATAATTTTAGCTACGCTTAATGTAGCTTTTTAAGGCCTTCATACAATTGAAAAAATTAAAGTTGAGCATGTTAAAACCCTGTTCATTTATAAAATAAAAAATAGAATTTTACAGGTTTGCAGTTAAAAGTCACTGTTCAAAACCGATCATGCATGTAATAGCTGCAACCCAACTGACAGTCCTTGGTGCTGGCAGTCAGGGCACAGCCCGCTGCCAGCAATGTGAGGCATTAAAAAAACACCATGATGTCAGAGGTCTAGATTTACATGTATTAAGCCACACGCCAGCAAATTCTCTGATAAATACACATCATTTTAATAATCAGTATTTGATAGCGGATGAAAACATGCATTAGACTAAAAATGCCACAAATTTGTTTTTATATCCATTCACTATAAAACTTTCTTTTTTAAAATTTAAAGTCTTGGTTCCTATTTTAGAATACACAATAATCAGGAGGATACATGATGGGGAGCCAGTTTTCAGTAAAAGATGCACAATGGGTCCATCCAAGTAACTTCATCAGCTATAACAAAACACAAAAACATATTATTAAAGAACAGATTTTTTAAGCCCAATATTCAGGGTAAATTCTGTATTTAATAATAATGAAGGGTAGCATGCAGAACTTTCCTTCCCTCCAACCCACCCACCAACCACCCTTCCTACTAACTGATCTTCCTTACCATCAACTAACCTACCCACTTTCCTACCAACCAACCTCTACAGGCGATAATGACCATCCCGGCCAACCTTCCTTCCTTCCTGTCTTTTTACTAACCTTTCGGTCTTCCTTTCTTTCTTCATTCCGACTTACTTGCTCCCTTCCTTCCTACCAAACCAGTTGCCTATCTTTCTTAGTCTGACTGTAAGCCGAACACTGTTCTAGACATCGGGAAAACAGCACTGAATAAACTCACTTCCCACTTGCAGGAAAGTTGTGTTTGGAGTTTGGAGAACCAAAGAATAAATAAGCAAATCAATGAACAGATGAATAAATGAGTACGTAATTAAGCTGTATATATCAAGTATACAACAAAAATAAAACCTGATGAGATAACAGAGTGACTGGAAAATGAGATGGTCAAGAATGGGATCTCCGAGGAGGTGACATTTATGGGGAAATTTGAAGAAGAAACCTACTCTGAAAACCTGGGGAAGAGCTTTCCATACAGCTGGACTAGTTAGGTCCCCTGGCGGGAAGGGGCGGGAAGGGGCGGGAAGGGGCGGGAAGGGGCGTGGTCGCTGTTTCAGCCAAAAGCAGAGCCAATCCGGGAAGTGTGACAAGGGATGCGGCTGGGAAGGAAGGCAGGAACCAGATCGCCTGGGGCCTTATGGGCCACAGGAAGGAGTCAGGATTTTATCCTAAATGTGATGGGGCTTCACCAGGAGGTGTCTAAAGCTATCTTTTCCAGCGGTGGTGTGGAGAACAGACAGTACGGGAGCAGAGTGGAGGGGACACAAGTTACAAATCCCCTGACGTGAACATGCAGGCCAGTCGCTGGCTTTACCGATGCGGGAGCTCACAGATCATAGTCGACGTGGATGAGAATCACACTATACTACATTAACGATTCGTTCCATAAAGAGTTCTCTTAACCTATTCAAAGATCTGAAGATGCTAATTTAAAATGTCTTACAATTTGGACTGACCAGTAAAGGTACACAGAAAAGGTCTAAGAGGGAAGATAACCTACAGTTTACTCTAATTATAAAAAATTTCCCCAGGAACTTACTGATTAGTTTTATATCCAAAGAATACCTTAAATATAGAGACCAGACCTTGGCCACATTTGGCATGACCAAGCTGCCCACCCAACCTCATATGCCCTTTAGGCACAAACCACCTGTGCGTGTCCAGAGACAAGATGAGGCTACGACAACTTCTGAGAAGTTCATTAATTTTTACACTTGACAATTAACGTACAGGAGTTTTAAAAATTTAATAATAAGTTTAAAAAAGGTAAAGAGCTTACTGGCTGTCTCTCATGCTTTTATTTTATAGTTCACATTGCATGAATGAGAGCAGCAATCAGTCATGATAAAGTCAGTATTGCTAAATCACTACAATAAGGCTTTTAGCTATCTGATCACTATGTGATACTGAGGTGACACTTAACAGTGACAATTTAATACCACTTACTTGAATACAATTTTTCCAGTTTTCTTTTGTTGGTTTTTCTTCCACAAGTTTAGTTGCAAATTTAAGGCCTCTCCCATACAATTTATGTACTAATGCATGCTTGTATGCAAATGTTAAAACCTATAATGTAAAACAAGATAAGGCTTATCTATGAAATATTTACATTTTATGGCTTATAGCTTTAATAATGAAAAAATTAAGGCCTTAACAGAAGTGTAGCTTTTAAAATGAACATTTTACACCAAGCAAATTTCAAAGATGTCTTAAAACAAAAGTTGAACATTCCACAAAAAAACTTATTTGGGGGTAAAAAATTAAACTGGGATAAATCACTAGCTCTTGGAATCTACACCAAAACACCTCTTCATGCAAAGGGGAGCTAACATAAATGATCACAAAAATGCAAATAAGGATAGCAGTACAAAACTATAAAGAGTCATTATAAATTACCAAAACTGCAAAAGGGGATAAAGTAAAAAAAATAAAAATAAAAAACTATATTGTATAAACGTACTCTTACTTTCAATTAATTCCTTTTGTATAAGTTTGTACCTTCAATTAGTGCATCTGTCAATTATACTTGTAAGCATTTATTCATATTTTTGGTCTCCACTTTTAGAACGTAGAGGATGACCTCAAAGAAAGGAATCCTATCACGTTTATTTGTATTCTGGAGCCAAGCAAAGTGTAAACGGACAGGTAATACAACGCACGGCCCCTAGATTCGGTGCTGGTATCACGGCAGACGGGGCTGTCTCTGACAATTGTGCTGCGCGGTCCAGCGCTTACCCCGCCCCCGGCCCTCATTCCTGTGTTTCGCGCAGCAAGCCCAGCACTAGGCGAGCAGCAAACACGCCCCAGTCATGTGTTAGTAACGGCAGCAAATACTGCTCAGGTCAGTCCCTGTACTTAAGCCTCATTCACCAGAAACTGTGAGGTGTCACTCTCCTCATTCATCAGGGAAGAAACTGAGGCATCAGAATTCAGTCACTTGCCCAGGGTCATACACATAAAAATGGCAGAAGGGGGATTCGAACTCCAGGGTCTGATTCCAGATCCAAATTCTCACCCTCTGGTGCCACACTGACTCCTTCAGCTTCCTGACTCTAACTCCCTTCCTTCAGCATGAGCACGACTGCACTGTGGTGGGAAAACCTCAAGCATTTAGGAAACTTTTTCTCCTTTCTCAGAGGTCTTCACTACAAAGTATCGTAGTTTATCTAGAAAACAAGCATCTGTCCAGTAAAACAAAACCAATGGCTTGTGCTGGGTTAGGAGAATTCTACTGATCTCATTTACTTTATTTTTCTTTATCTTCAGAAGACAGGAAGATTGACAAAAACTTGTAATTATATAATCCCTACTGTACGAATTATAGTAGAGAGCTACGAGATTTAACATGTTTTTATAGCCCAAATCCAAAAAGTTCGTCAATGCTACTTTTTCTTAACTGGGTCTTAAAACTGATGAGCTATAGGGCGCCTGGGTGGCTCAGTTGGTTAAGCGACTGCCTTCGGCTCAGGTCATGATCCTGGAGTCCCGGGATCGAGTCCCATATCGGGCTCCCTGCTCAGCAGGGGGTCTGCTTCTCCCTCTGACCCTCCCCCCTTCGTGTACTCTCTCTCATTCTCTCTCTCAAATAAATAAATAAAATCTTTAAAAAAAAAAAAACTGATGAGCTATAAATCCAGTTGATAATTATTTAAAAGTCAAAGAGCTTTGAGAAAAATAACATCTAAAGTAAACAGAATGCCCACCGCCCCCCCCCCCCATCCCCGACAAATCAGTACATAAACAGATACGGGAAGGCATAAACACAATTTCTAGATGTTCTTAATTCTAGCTTCATACATAACTGGCTTAACCAAAAGGCACATTCTCAAACTGTTTTCCAAATTAGTTTGGCTAAAGAGCCACTGTGCAGATAGAGAAAATAATAGTAAAATGGTTCTAAAACAGGTAAGACAAAGGAGGTCTCACTAAACACAATGTCTTCTTCAGAGCCCAGCTTAGCCACACTCCATATATTTTCTTCCTCTTCTGGCCAGGGAGCTGGGAAACAGTAAAGAGTAGGCAATGGGGCACAAGGGAGGTTTGTGAGGTAACCCCCAAGAACTGTGCCAGAGCAAGAAGCACAAAGATTACCTTATTGTCAAAAAGATCAGTCCATTTTGTAGTTTCCCAAAAAGTTTCCATCACAGAATCCAGAGTATTTTCTCTTTCCTCCTCTCTTCCTTCGGTGTCGCTTGAAACAGCCCCGTCTTGATCTTGTGCGTGAAGAAGATGGTCGGCCAGGGCACATCCTTTTCTACAAAGGGCATCCACGAGGGTAGATTTCTGTTTGTCCATATCACTGTGCGCCAAATCAAAAAACAATGCACAGATCAGTAAAATTCCTTAACAAGTATAGACTTGTCTGAAACTAATAAGCTCATGCATTCTTTGCGTCAGATTTACAATGCAGAAATATTATTATACATCAAATAAGATTCCTTATTTTTAATAAACATCAAAGAAGCCACTACATTGTACAAACGGATTAAATGAGTTAGGACAGCTGTCTTTGGTTGAAACAGAATACCATAAAGCAAAAGAAGTGAAAGGCTGTTCAGCTCTAAATTCCGCCAGCTTACATCAGAACAGCATCTTTTAGGTATTTAGATTTCTTGTAAATAGCAATCATCACACATTTATGCACCGAAGTACAGAAGTTCTTTCAGGGCTGAACTTAACTTTCATTTATAAATCGAGCACACACTGTAAAATGCTTCCTCTATGCCAGCAAACTGCTTTAGCACTTTCACATATTAATTCATTTACAGTCAAAACAATTCTAAAAGTAAGATACTATTAATTATCCCCATTTTGCAAAGGAGGAAACTGAGGCACACAGAGATTTGTTCAAGGTCCAACGGTTAGGAAGTAACAGATCCAGGACTTGAAGCTACTTAGAGTCTGCTTCTAGAATCCCTGCTCTTAATCACTACGGTAAAATTGCCTTGCTGTATAGGGCAGGCATCTGGGTTGTTCTGATGTATTCCAAGTGCCCAGACAATGCCTGGCATAGGACAGGACAGAAACTCCCAATAAATCATTGCTGAATGAAATACAGTAATGACCTACACTCCAGCGGATAGCGGTAGTCTTTAGGATACTTGCTTATCTGAGGCATTTTGTCCAACTCATATCCCACATGTGTGAAGACAATGAGGATTAAAAGTGCTGAGAAGGTGCCCACAGGGCACTCAGACATGGAAACAGACTGTCTAACAGTAAGAATGATTCTGAAGGACTCAGGAGTGGAATGTGCAACATATGAAATCTGCTGGCGCTACAAAATCAACAATTAGTACAAAAGATAATGAAAATGAGAAAACAACAACTTGTTACAACCCAACAAAGTTACCCATCTTAATACGTTTGCAACAGATAAAATTAGGCCAAAAAAGATGCCTAGGACTTTCAGCGAAGAGTTTCAAAGCTTAAAAGAACTAACTTTCACTCTTTTTGGGGAAACGTGTCAGGGAACTGCTTGGTTACTTTGGACTCAGGAACAAAAGGATTTCTGAGTTGAAGGACATGTACATAGCTTCTCATTTACTAAGCACCCCCCGCCCCCATCCCACCTTTTCGATGCCAGTCACCTTCTGAAATGTCTTACACCAGTATTTCATTTATGCTTTACAGGAGTCGGACACAATCATTGTCCCCATTTTGTGAAGAAGGGGGCCTTGGTACAGAACTGGATTGGCAAGGCGGGTTTGATCATCCATGGCAGTGCTGACTGATTGGTCCTAGCTGCCCAGAGAAGGGCTGGAAGGACGCAGAACTTAGGGGGTGACACAGGTGTGCTGTACATGCCAGTCCTCGATTAAACTACCTGCCAGACCCAATAACCCAATAACTCCACATATTTGGAATATTCCTTCCCTACCCTCACCTAACTCAGAACGGATCAGCTCAGATCAAATACTTTATCCACAAGGCTTTCTCCACTCCATTTCAAGTGAAATCAGCTCTCCTCCCTACAGGCTTTCACAGTTTAAAATATTCACTATAACTCTTAATCACATCCTAGCTAGTACCTTCACCTTCTGCATCAGAGGACTAATAAGATTGAAACACAGCTAGTCTTGGTCTGTGACTCACTTTAACCTGGAATTAAGAGTTTCCTCTGTGGACAGGAAGACGTAGGAAAGACAGGCCAAACTACCAGCAGGGCTAAATGGACCTTCATATTTAAGTTTTAAACATTATTTCCTAGACATGTGAGTCTGAAGAGACGACACCACTTTCACAAACTAAGAAATAACAAGATGCTAGAAGGGACGGGGGCAGCTCCTAGCAGAGGCCACAGTGAGGTCAAGGCAGCCTCAGAGGGGCCACGGTTTCCCGCAATGAGTTTCTCACGGGCGATCCAGCCCAGACTCCTCCTCCGGCAACAGGGTTAACATGGAATGGAATTCAGGAAGTAAGTGCAGTGTAGATTACTCCAGCCAGAAGCCAGGGGCCCCAGAGGGGACAGGAGACATCCGGATATGACCACTGGCTGAGGGGTGGACCCTGAAGACCAGGAGAAAAGGACTTGTCAGCGGAGGGCAGCTATGAAGGAAATGGAGGGGAGGATTCAGACCGAGACACAAAGGTCAGCCTCGGAGAGGAGTCCCTGCCCTCTCCGACACAGAAAGGAAGCATGAAGATGGGTAAGGTGGAGCTGATGCCCTATTTTTCTATGAGAAAGAAATGAGGCGTATGAATCTTCTCAAGATGGGCAGGAATGCAAGGGCTGCTTATCAAGAAATGGAAGACCTAGCTTGGGACAGACCCGGCGTGAATCTGGCTCTCCCGTTTCCAGCACTGGCACCCTAGGCCGGCCACGTATGCTCTGAGCCTGTTTGTTCTTCGGCAGATACAGGGTAAAAACGCCCGTGGTTGGCATGTTATTTAGAAGATTAAGTTTAAGTGAGATAATGTATTCAAAATATCTCAAATAATTCCTGGTACATAACTTGCACTTCACAGTCGGACAATGACAACACAGCCATGTTTGAGATTATTCCTTTAGAAGGTGGGGAAGGGTGCAGATCATGCCAACAACCTAATTTGAGTAACTTTTATTCTGCTTGAAAACTACCGCTTGTAGACTTATAAGAGCTGTAGTATTAGTATAAACAACATAATACCCAGAGTTCTAGCAGTTTAGAATCAAGAACTTCAGAGAGAAAGAAGTGATCTGACTGAAGCTGCAGGAATCACTGTAACAGCTCTAAGAGGCGGCGATATTTCTACCCTCACAGGTAATGACCTCCGGGTGAAAATAAACCAAAGTGAGGGAGGGAAAGCTGGTATCGGAAGAGCTCCCACAAAACGGTCCTGAGAATTCACGGAAGGTGGAGGCTCCGGAGGCTGAGGGGCCATCACACTCCACACGCTCAGGCGCCACCAAGCGACGCCTGTTTCACATGTTGCGCTGGGTTTCTTGAAGCTAAACCATTAACCCCCTTCCCTTCACCCCACGTGATACCGTTATACCAGTTCCTAACTCAAGTTGCTAGGTGACAGTTTCAACCTGACTTTATTTGTGTTACCAGGCATTACAAACTAAATCTGGGCTTTTCATGCTATTGGTCAATGAACATTTAGAAATTAATCTTTTTTGCCTTCTCCGTATGTCCAGTTCCCACAAATCCCCAAGTGGCGGGACTGTTTGATCACAGCTACTCAAGTCTCTCCACCACAACAGCACCTAACGGCAGAGAAAGCAAACCCCTTTTCTTTTGCTTAATCTCAAACGACTGAAGAAAACTATTATGAAATATCTAAGGGTGGACTATCCAAATACTGATTAACTCCAGGGACATAACAAATAGCAGAAAAGAAGAATATTCTCATTAATTTTAAAAAGTAACTAAGAAATGAGATGCAAGAAAGATTATTTACTGGTTAGGTACTTTTTTATAGTAGCTGCATCGGGCCTGGGGTCAGTCTTCATTGCCATATAAACTGCTAGGGCCGTTTGATCTATATGAGAAATAACAGCATCTGCAGCTTCAACAATTTCATTAAGTCTTTTCATCCGTTCCTAGGGAGGAAAAAAAAGAAATAAGGAATGGATGTATCAGCGAGTACACCAAAGTACCTTCATTTCTGTCGTCCTAACCGCGAGAGTCACAACTCCGGAGTGAGGGGGCTGGGCAGTCTCCTCGGAGCCCAGAGGGCTCTGTGCTGCCCGTGCTGTGATTTTGCCACGATGTCAGCATCGCGGACCTGAGCTCAGACAGGGAATACCCAAGACACATCCTCACTGCCGTTGGATGGTGAGGGTGGGCAAGATAAACGGTTCACAGAAACGTAGTGCTTTCTACCAAGGCAACTCCTTTTCTGGGCATCTTAGAAACACGACTGGCTAGGTTACTCCAGTTGCACACCACACGAAAACAGAATGGAAAAAAGCACCTGCTGATGAACATTCTTCCTAGTTTATTATTAAAACCACAAAGATGAGAGTAAACAAGAATAGACCCAACAGAGTCTAACTACAATCACCACGGTGCTCGTGGTGCTCTTAGTAATTTGCTCCTCTCGTGAGTCTTAGAGGTCTCCTTTCAACACCTTCAAGTTCACTCTGAACCCCGGATAATTTTTAATTGTTTATGGCTAGCACTTTCCTACTGGCAACATTAATCAACGAGAGCTGTTAAGACAGTCTGGAACGATGGCCAGTTCTTAAAAATTAGCATCAGTAACAAAGTTAATGCAAAGTAGGAGTTCTTTGTTTGCTGCAGGTGTTTAGATCTGCAGCAGGCCAGGACCCCTGCCCTGGAGGTGAATGTCAGAAAAGCAACCCTCAGGATATCTTACCTCCTAGTCTTCCCACTGACCAAAAATATGAGCGGGAATTCTACGCTGAACTCATAGTAATGGCTAAGTCCTGTAATTACCTTAATGAAAATAGTTAATATCTGAGAAACAAACTGAGGGTTCTAGAGGGGAAGGGGTGGGGGGATGGGTTAGCCGGGTGATGGGTATTAAAGAGGGCACGTATTGAATGGAGCAAACAATGAATCATGGAACACTACATCAAAAACTAATGATGTAATGTATGCCAATTAACATAACATAATTAAAATAAAAAAAGTTAACAGAACATGCAATTTGTAGAAACATGTTTTCATTTGGCAAGAACACAAGACAAATATAAGGCTGCATTTTTATTCAATGTATAAACTTTATCTAATGTTACAAACAAAATGAAATACTCATATTAAGAATGAACATGTCCAACCTTTTCAGCATCCAACTGATGAAGTCTTGCAACATACAGAGGAAGATAATTAGGATATGTTTCTTTCAATTCATTATAAATGTCACTAGAATCCAGCCTATGTATATAAGAAAGAGAGAAACATTATATTTTGTTTCTTTTAGAAAGAAAACAATTTCTGTCTTCCCTATTATTTAACACTGCTTTGAAGTTCCAGTCCATAACATAAGGCATCAATCTGAAACATAAGTATCATTACTGAGGATTATCATTATTTGCAGTAGTATAAATATGCTTAACCCAGAAAAACCAATTGTAAGAATCAAGATGTTTTCATACATGCTAGGTATAGATGTATAAAGAGGAGGAAAAAACATTCATATAGCAAGAAAGATGAAAAGATCTAGAAATGTCCAAAATGTATAAGAAAAATGTAAACTTTTCTGAAAAATCTGAAGTCTTGGATGAATGAAGAGACATTCTGCGTTCTTGAATGGGGAAGCTGAATAAAGCTGACTAAACGGGTGATGAGGAGCAGTAGTCTGGGGTCTTCCTGGCTTGCCTCGCCTGCCCTGAAACCACCACTCCCTGGGCTGGGCTGGGGGGGGCCCCAGTGTTCTCAGCAGCACCACACCTAAGGCAGGCCCTCTGTTCCGCGCCCCACCCCCGCCCCCCCACTGGCTCATCACTCCGCCTCAGCGCTTCTCCCAGGAGGAGAGTCCCCTGTCTGGGAGCCGAGGGGCGAGGGAGCCTGTATTCCTGGCTGCAAGTGGCCTGGATTCGAGGAGGCGTGTCCCTGAGCTGGCAGTGCGGAAGCAGGGAGTGGCCTGGGCTCAAGTACCACAGATTCTCACTTTTCTTCCCAAACTATAGATGTTCTTGAATAGGTGTTTCTTCATCCTTTGCTGTATGCCCTTACGATCATCTCCAGAGGTTTTAAAAGGCTGATTTTTAAAAAAGGATTTTCACTAGTTTCCGGGGGATTGGGTTCTTGGGACTCCTCACGCTTCTGTGCCAGAAGTCAATCTCTGCCGTTTCACTTTTGAAGGATTTACATTGCATTTTCAACTGTTTACAACATCTTACAATCAGCCAGAGACTGACTTACAGACTTTGACTTCTGGTGGAGACGCAGTCTAGTTTTTAAGTGGAAAGGTTAAGTCCGAATGTAGACAGACCCTGTAACCGGTTCAATCCCTGGGAATTATTTTCACGATATGATGACGTCTGTTCTCTAGAAGAGCTCAGGACTACAAGGATGCACACATGTTCAGCTAATGAGGACTCCCATAGAAAAGCAGTGGTCAGAGAAATACTGCATAACACAAATGGAAAAAGCAATCCATTTGACTAGAGAAAATACATTTCTACTATGTAAAAAGTAAGCTAAAAGTAAAAAAATAAGCTGGGGGAAAAATGTGTACAAGTATAGCAAAGCATTGATATCTTTTATGTTAAAAAGTTAAAAGAAAAATCTGCTGTCCCAATAGAAAAACAGTACAGAATATGTTCAACTGACAGCACCTATACCAAGAATGCAATGACAGCATTTAAAAACCCCAAATGCAACCAGCATTTCATAACTTAAGAAATGCAATTTAAGACCACGATAATGGCCTTTTCTTTTTTCGCCCTCTAGCAGCAAGGCTTTGTTTTCAATTCCACAGCGTAATAGGCTCCGCCATACACCACTAGAGGGAGTAGGAATTGTGACATTCCCTCTAGAAGGCAATCTGGCAAAACACTTATCTAGGTGATTTTTTAAGTGTTAATAATACGGATTCAGTAATTATACCTTTAAGATGCGATCTGATGGATATTTAAAGAAACTACATGTATAAAAATGTCCATCACGGCACCATAGAGAAAAGCTATAAATGTGGATGCCAAATAGAGTATTTAAGTGGGTTATATTTCTTCAACAAGACCGCATACCACATAGTCATTAAAATGGCATTTTAAAGGACTATTAAATGACCTAAGAAACACCCAAAATCAAATAGTAATTAGAAAACTAGGACACATCATTCACACTGCTACATGCATAACTACAGAGAAAATAATAATAGGACAATGATTACCTTTGGAGAGTAGGCAAAAAAGTGATTTTTATTTTTTTTCTTTTAATGCTTGTCAGTAAAATTCTCTTACAAGAACAAATCAGAATTAAGTGGTTAAAATAAAAGCCCCTGTAACCTTACCACCCAGTTAAACTTACTTTGTCATCCACTGAATTTTAAGATCTCGTAATGCTTCAGTGAACTCTTCTTTTAAATCTTTCTCTTTTTCTGAATCTTTTTCTTTATCTTTGCTGCCATTCTTAGTCTTTGTTGGCGGAGGTATTAGGTAGTAATGAACAGGGATCACATCCTATGAATGTGGAGAGAGTCTCAGATTAACAGGCTTAATTTTACGTATTTCAAAATCATCTTCAGTACCTGAGTATCTCAGAACACGGGCTGCCCTGAGTTGTACTACAACATATTCCAGATCCTAAGGGCCACAAAACATAAAAAAATCCCAATCTGTGATCAAAGGAATGTTCTTCCAAACTTTAAATTACTGATGCTTCTGAATCTCCTTTAAAATAAAGATGGAAGGGGCGCCTGGCTGGCTCAGTCGGTGGAGCATGCGACTCTTGATCTTGGGTTGTGAGTTCAAGCCCCACATTGGGTGTAGAGATTACTTAAAAATAAAATCTTAAAAAAGTTAAAATAGAGGAGGTAAGAACAAACTTTCCTCCATTTGAGGGTATTTGGTATTCTTAGTTTAACTTGACAGACTGGATTACGGAAAATGCTAATTACCAAAGTCTACTGAGCTTTCATATCTTCTACTTGAAAAGGGAAGGAAATAACTTACAATTTTTAAAAAGATCCTCTTTTCTACATAAATTTAAAGAGAAATCTCTTCATTCCATCAAGAGGACTTACTGAGGCCCTGTGACGTGCTAGGTAATGCTCTAAGAGGTGAAGGGCAAAGCAGACAAGGCCCTCTCTTGCCCCCCGGGAACATATCCTAGTGGGGGAAAACAGACAACATATAGGCAGTGAATCGTTTCAGAAGACACCACATGATATGGAAAAAATGAAACAGAACGCAGGGACAGAGAGCGGCTGCCCGGTGAGGTGGGGAACAACGCGGGCAAATGGTGCTGGGAAGCCACTCTGAACAGGGAATATCCCATCTAAGTGAACGAACCTCCATGGACCTAATTAACCAAACTGAGGTGAAGAAGAAGTGTCTGAAGACAGAAGACGGGCACATGCAAAGCCCGGAACTTGTGTACAGGGCAAGCGCAGCTGGAGACAGTGGACACGTGGGCAGCAACCACAGGGACTGGGGCTGATAGAAGGTAGTACCAAAATACAGATTTTATTCTAAATGCAACTGGAAGCCTACCAGGAGAGTTGTAGGGAAGGCAGTGAACACGATTCAAGATTTCTGCTTTTTGTTTCATAACTCTGGATCCTATATGGATGAAACATGTTCTTCCTACTATTTGGAGAATGGACGATAGAGGGCAGAAGTCGAGAAGGAAGAAGACGAGTTAGGAAGCGAGCCCAGACTCCCAGCACTGCTCTGATCTTTAGATCTGAAGAACAGGCTGTACAAGAGGAGGAAGTGGACGGATTTAGAAATCGTGACGGCAGAACCGACAGTACTTGCTGATGGTGTTTAAAATGAGGGGCTAAATAAAACTGGGCAGGACTGGGGGAGGGGAAGAGGAAGCCCAGGCCTTGATCCAAGGCATTCTGCGGTCTCAAAGATGCCCAGCAGTGAAGGAGACAGACGCCAGACGGGCTCCGCGGGCGAGCCAGTGGAAAGAAAGAGGAGCGGTCAACCAGTGGCAGTCGTGGAGGTGGTGCCAGGGAGAGGAGGGCGCGGCCACAGAACCGGGCAGCCGTGGCTGGTCCCCACGACAAGAGACGCAGTCTCCGTGCAGAGCGGGGGTGAGGGCTGACCGAGAAAGAGATGCAGAGAGAACAGGAAGTAAAGAAGCTTAGATAGTTCCTTTGAGAAGTTCTGCTTTGAAAAGAGCAGAGAAATGTGTAATTACATCTAATTACATCTATTTCCATCTATTCTGTTAAAGCACATAAGTCTCCACTTGCAAAAACTAACGCAGTATCTGGGAAATGAAATCCTGTTCAGACTCGCTAGATCTGGTCCTGGCACAGTAACCAGGTATCCTTAATTAAATTGTGAAGTCAATTTCACCAATTCTAGCTTTAAGTTTACATTAAAAATGCTAAATTAAAACCTTTTTTGTTTTAATCAACAAAATTTCTAAAATCGGGAAAAAAAATATGTACCAAGACTTTTACTCTCCTAATCTCAGTAATTTCAGAAAAAAACTTTACACAGGTTGAGACAAAAAAATAGTATTGTAAGCCCCCACCTTCCCCTAAATAGGATTTTTAGGTGTAAATACAGCGTACTTATGCACATGTTAACAATTTTCACAACTAAATTTTATTTTGGGGTAAAATTATAATAGTAAATATAAGGAACTACTGTTGCAGTAGTTCTAACAGCATTCCAACATAAAACAGTACCTACTACTTCAGTATGACTCCTTTAACACACATAAAACCACTCATGCGACATAACCACACAAATCCACTTTCAGCCATGTCAGTGCCATGCTCTGTCTGAGGCCAGGAGCCAGCGCCTGCAAGCCAAGGTCGCATGTGCAGTGTGGGACGGGGCAAAAGAAGCAGGGTTCTGCTTGGGCAAGCTCCTCAGGACCCTGCTACCCATCCTTCTTCCCTCCTCTTGAGTTCACTTTCCTAGGTGCTGGGGCGAAAAGCGTCTGCAAAATTGGGAGTTGCTAATTAACCACCAAGCTCTTATGGGAACAGATCATTTCCGTATCATCTGTACAGCACAGATAATATACTGAAGAACTCGAGGGGCAGAGACAGCCCCCAACATTTACCCTCTGTTCATGTAGTCCTGTACTTCCACAGCACTAAAACAGGGACGACACTTGCCTGGAGGAGGAAACTCGGCAGTCCATGCTGATTCTAACCTAACGTGAGCCTCCCTTAGTCCCCCCTTCCTCGACTGATTAGGGAGAGGGGCAACTTTCAGGATGGGAAGGAAGTCTCTGTTGTGAGGCAATTCCTCCACTGAAGCTCAAAGGTAAGGCATTTGCTATTATGTTTTAGTACAGAAGAGAGAAAACAGAATTGAATTTAAAATGAGCAATCCATTAAACTTAATTTATGATTAACAATAAACTCTAAGAAAGATCTATAAATAGAAAGAAACCCTGTACCATGGCAACCATAAACTGTCACTAAAAACTAAAAGCACAAGAGACAGGGAGAGTTTGTGATGAATGACCTTGTGTGTGCGGGGGCGGGGGGGTCAAGGTTTTGTGATCAGCATTTTGTATTTAATATATAAAATATGATATATTTAAATATATCAAATCAGCAATTATAAGTGTTACTATAATCCTAACAAAATATTTCAGGACAGTAATTTTTTATTATTAAAAATTACAAACATGGTAGTTTTAATTCCTAATCAAAAGAAAAATGGAGTTATTTTTTGTTTTATCATGTTCACCAGTTCTTTTTGTATTTTTTCAACTTGCTTCTTGAGGACTTAGTATAGGGTCAATTTAATAGAAATCATTTTGTACCATTAAGTCTTGAGAAACTTTGATTACGATTTAAAAAGATAGTCAACAGCAATCTTCAGAGCAGAAATGCTGAAGTTCTTTAGAGTAGCTACTTAAGAGTAAGTTTTCTAAAAAATCATATTATTTCTGCTAGTCACCGAGTATTCTGACAGTGTTTGGACAATATCCTTGAAAGTCAAATCTACCTGCAAAACTCATAATTATTCTTTGGATAACGTAACATACCGCCATTTAAATTTTGGTTCAAAAATTACAATTTCCCTAAATTCAAAACTTTAATACCTTTACACAAACTAAAATAGTTATTTTAAAGATTAAAATCATACTGGAATGCTATTTATCATGTTAAAAGTAACTATACTCCTTCATATGACGATGAACTTAAAAAATGTAACCTGCATTTGCCAAATCGAAAGTCACTGAGACCCAAAGGACAAATCCATTGAGGATTATGCACCAAAAGCTAGTTGGTATTTTGTTCTGACAATAAATTAATATATAGATCTTTCTGGTAATGAGACTATAAAGCAGGGAGAACTGGGAAGAGGTAACTGTAGTTGCCCAAGTTCTTTATATATAAAGCTTTCCTAACCATCAAGTAATAATAACCTTCCTATTCACTTAATAGTTTCCTATCTTATACAATCTGATCCAAACAAAATCCACGAAAACTCCCAAAAGGTCAACCAAAATATACAACAGGAAGAAAAAGCCCCAGCTATGCTTTTGTGATAAGCACCTTTTATTTTTAATGGGCTCCTAGAAGACCTTTTCCTTATTTTCTAAAGCAGTGGCTTTCAAGCTATTTTCAGGATGACCCAAAGATAAACAATCTATAAATAAACAGAAATTTGTTTTATGAGTCTGATGAATGACATTTCCTACTTTATTGTTTTCATGTTAAAGCTGGTTATATTTCATGAATGTACACGGCCCACAAATGGGTCACAACGCTCAGCTGAGAAACACTGGCCTACGGTGAAGTAGATATTCCTTTAACTGGAGAGATGACTCCCAGTGCGGCATTTCGCTTGAACAAAGTGTTTACCGCTATGTGACAATATAAAATTACAGAAGTCTTTTAAATAAAGGAACTTCATCTGTTCTAAAATGGTGATCCCCAGTTTCACATCATTGTGAATTAAGAAACAGAGTTATCTCTTATTTATACTTCAAAATACAAATTCTCCTTGCAAAGCTTCCTGCCTGCAGAGGAGATCACTAACATGCTAAACGATGCCAGAGAGTGGAGTCTGTCTATCTCTTTCACTAAGTGCACTCGAAGTACAATTCTACTTTTTTTTTTGTTAAATTTGGCTCTAGCAGTCAATCAGAGATTGTCTAATAAGTTGTAGGAAGTTATGTTCTCAGTGTCAACTTTAACCCGGGGTGGACAGTCCTTGTGCCTGGGCCCCCGGCCACTGCTCTGTCTCTGCTCCCCCAGCACCACGACACAGAGCAGGGAATAAACTTTTTTTTCAAATTCCTTAGTAATATTTTAATAATCAAATCATCCAACTTAAGAATGTTTTTAGACTTTAAAAAGAATTGTTTTGGCTTATATAGCTAAGACAAAAAATTACATTCATTTCTCTGTAGGATTTTAGATATGCAAAATTTCAAATATTACTATTTGGTATCATATCTGTGGCTAAGAGATGAAAAGCAATAATTTTTTTTTCTAGACACATGTAAAACAGGGGTCTTCCAGCGATTTATGGCAGGAAAAAAACGCTTCAGGAAAGCAGTATGTCAACACTGACAAGCTATAAGCACTATACTGCAGAACTTAAAGAAAGGAAACTAAGGGAGAGATTTTTAAAAAAAGATTTATAATAGGTGACAGAAAAAAAAAAAGTTTAACTAATATGCAAATAAGGCTTTAAGACATCTTTTTTAAGAACTGACAATCAGTACCTTTTTAAATTTTCCTTGTCGTTTTGCTGCAGACTGCCCCTGGGAGTTAGAAGGACATTCTGTAAGAAAACATGCACAATCTACACAGGATGGAGACACCACCTCTGTCTAATTGTCTTCCAGTTTACGTCACACCTGCGTGTGTCTCCGTACTTAGAAGGGTCAGGTCTACGATCAAAATGGCAGGCTTTTAAAGAAAGCAACACTGCCACTTTCACTTTAATAAAAATGCAATCAAATAGGTTATTCCTAAGGGCAAATGTTTTTCAACTCCGTATTTGAAAACTGAGTACAGTAAAATCTATTAGTTATCAAAACACTTTTAAAAACATTAAATTTAGCTGACAGTCTAGAGTCGGATTTCAAGGACGTCACAACAATCACATACGCCCAGGCATCATCATTCAAGGTGACCGTGAGAGGCAGAAGTAAAACAACACTCACCTTCCCAACTACCAAACCGGTGAGAAATGCAAAACTACGAGATAAGATTAAACAAACAAGGTGCTGGCAAGTATAATTAACTCTATGCCTTTAGGTTTTTGCTCTCTCTCAAGAAAATCTATCCCATAAGTAATTACCTGGTAAGTAGTAACTCCAGTTAATCCCATACTTTTATAATTTATGCCTCTGAAAGAAGTAACTATCTCTGAATGGCTAAAAGTGCAGTTTTAATAACAATGCTTTTCTGTCATATCAATCCAAGGAAGCAGACACCTGAGAAGAGTTATCTGGGTGAGAATCCCATCTCCCCATCTAGGGAGCCCCACAGTTGGAAGCAGCCCTGCTGCCCAGGAAGTGAAGCCTACAAAAAAAGACTAGGACTTCTTAAATCAGCGCATCTATGAATTCCAGTATCAGTGACTACTGATTCACTTCAAATGATACTAAAGTGTATATATAAATAAGTACAGTTGACCCCTGGACAACACGGGGGCTGGGGACACTACTTCACCCCCCAGCTGAAATTCCTTGTATAGACTCCCCCAAAACTTAATTACAAACAGCCTACTGTTGACTGGAAGCCTTAACGATAACATAAACAATCAAATAACATATTATTTTGTATATATTCTTATGTTAACGTAAGCTAGAGAAAATGTTATTGAGAAAATCACAAGGAAGAGAAAATATATTTATAGCACTGTACTATATTTACTGGGAAAAAAAACCCCACATATAAGTTGACCGCGCAGTTCAAACCCATGTTGTTCATGGGTCAACTGCAGTATCGACTGAAATGAGACTCAAGAAATGTCAGGGCAAACGATTTTTTCAAAGCACAGAATTCCTAAGTTATGCCTCTAAGACACCAGTAAGTGACTTCTGGTTCAACAGTGGCAAGAAGTAAGTACACTTGTTAAGATGCAAGAAATCCATTCAACTTGGTAATGGCATTTATGATTCCAGCATCAGGTAGTAGACCACTATGTAAGAACTGATGCTGAGGAGAAATGCAAAACTGTAAGAATGACAACTTTACTGGCATTGAACTAATATGATGACAGAAGGTGACAGATCCACATAAACACTATTCTCATAATAAATATATAATGAAAAGAGATGGAAAAGTTAAAATAGGTACCTATCCAGTTGTAATGTTTATCTCTACAATGTAAAAACCAGAAACATGTTTTTAATAGCATGATTTTAAAACTATAAAATAAAAGGCAATGCCAAAAGAAATACTCATAATTATCTACACAATTATGCAAAATTCCAACAAGAGAAAGGTCTGTACAAGTGAGGAAAAATACTGCTCGTTAGAAATGATATGACTAGTTTTCTAGAAGTAACCCAAGAAGACCTGACTTATTTTTATATCCACAATATTATGTTGGTTAAAATCCTATAAAATGTTCTAATTTTAAACATCCCATTCACTTAAGCCAAGTTTAATCTGGACCTACATGTTTCAAGGGAAGTTCAAGTATATTAGTCATGCAAGGTAGGACCAGTTCAGGGCCAAGTACTTAGGTCTGGGAAAAAAGAATACTAAATATTTTAAAATACAATCAAATCTTAATTGACCTTTACTGGTAATTTGGGAAAAAACTACTCAATTTTTTTCCCCCAGGGAGAACTTCTCTTTTACCCATTCTAAAGGGTTAGATTAATTCCCATCTTTTAAAGGAATGGAAATTTTGGAATAGGTAATTACAGTGTTTAAAAAAAAAAAAAAAAAAGGAGGGGCGCCTGGGTGGCTCAGTCGTTAAGCATCCGCCTTCGGCTCAGGTCATGATCCCAGGGTCCTGGGATCGAGCCCCGCACTGGGTTCCCTGCTCCACGGGAAGCCTGCTTCTCCCTCTCCCACTCCCCCTGCTTGCGTTCCCTCTCTTGGTTAAATAAATAAAATCTTTGGGGAAAAAAAAAAAGGATACTTACAGCTTTCTTCCCAAGTTCAGTCTTTGATAATGTTAAGGATCCTGCAAGGTAGCATCCAGGTCCTGCCCCTTTAGGTATTCTAGTAAGAAAGTTCAAAAGAGAAAAAAAGGAACTAAAGAGAAAGTCTCAGAAAGAAAATCAAGGGGCAAAACATCAAAACAATCGCATTCTGAAATAATTCCCACAGCTCAGATTTCCAAAATCAAAGGGAGAAATAATCTTAGTCTAAAATGGTAAGTGACAACATACCATAAATTTAGCCCAATGTAATGATCTCACATGAAAAGATTACAGTATTTAAGATACACATTAAGTGTAAGCAACACTGTCACTTACTTGTCATCAGGTAAGGAGGTAACAAAGAATGGTTGGTTATACTTGGGTGGTAATGTCAAATTACTTGATTTCTTCTTTCCTAGAAGTGCAAGGCTATGATTTTCATGAATATCTAAGCTCAAGGTATTAGACAACCTATGAGAAACAATGAATGGGAGATCTTTAAGACGTTCCAAATCGCTGATCTGCTCATGACGAATCTGTAGTCGAATTGTATAATCTCCTTTCTCCAGTTTCAAAGAATACTAAAAAAGACAAAGAACATTTGGAAAAAGGAAAGTTTAGCCAAGTCAACAGAAATTATAGTAAGAGGATAAAGAGGAACAGTTACTACATACAGAGTGCTTACACTGTGTGAGGAAGAGTGCATGCGAGTGTGCGCGCCTACACACAAGGACCTGAGGGTGCAGGTGAGGAAGCAGGGCCAGGAACATCCCGTGAATTGTCCAAGGCCACGTGCAGAGTAAAGGATAAGGGAGCTGAAGGCAGGTATGGCTCCAGAGCCCTCAATTTCCCACAATAAGCTTTGCCCATACTCTCAGCTAAATCTGTATCTGCTCAAGACTGATAAAAGCAATGATCTTCTAGTTCATGAGTCTTTAGAAACATGTATAAACCACCACCAAAACTAGCAAAATTGAGGTGCCATATAATATCCAAGACAAATATACACACACACGTGTATACACAACTGGTAATCTTTATGTTATAACCAAAATGCCACACCTCTTTATCACAGGAAAAATAGGGAGCCAGCAGAGACAAATCCACTCTGCTCCACCTAGTTAACCTGCTCAGGAGCATGGCACGCTGTATTCTGCATCAGCAGTATCTTCTGAGATTTTAAAAGCCACAAAGTAATGGCACTGCAATAATCCAGTCTGTACTGAGGAGATGTGACTTGGCTTGCTTTGAGGAAAAAAAAGAAATCATTCTCTGACTAGTTAACTGAAAAAAACCTGATAAATTATTTTCATTATTTGGCATAGTATTATAGATGTTTACAGGAAATACCTCATTTCTTTGTAACAATATTTTATTCAGGGATAAAATTTCTATAAACTACTGATTAAGGGGCACCTGGGTGGCTCAGTCGGTTGAGCTTCTGCCTTCGGCTCACGTCATGATCCCAAGGTCCTGGGATGAAGCCCTGCTCAGTGGGGAGTCTGCTTTTCCCTCTTCCTCTCCCCCACTGCTTGTGCTCTCTCTCTCACTCACTCTAATAAATAAAATCTTAAAAACAAACAAACAAAAAAAACCTATATGATTAAGTTTTTCTCCCTTTAATACAACAGTGCCAAGCACAGTGATTGGCATACACTGTGTTGAGTACACAGCTGTCTCAGGAAGAAATAAATCTGAAAGTTCTAATAAACACTTGGCACTGCTATATAGTGCTTTTCATCCAGTTCAGACCCGGGATCATTTCAAGGTGCTCATATTATCTTAGATGATTTGCTCCCAGCCATCAGATGTGTGGAAGCAGTGGGCAGGAAGAAGAAATAATTAAAATAAAAAGCTACACTTAGGGGTGCCTGGGTGGCGCAGTCGGTGAGCATCCGACACTTGGTTTCAGCTTGGGCCTGATCTCGGGGTCATGAGATCGAGCCCTGTGTTGGGCTCTGTGCTCAGCGTGTGGTTTGCTTGGGTTTCTCTCTCCCTCTGCTCCCTCCCCTTCAAATAAATCTTTAAAAAAAAAAAAAAAGGCTACGCTGGCTAGTGTTCGCAAGCATCATCCATGCCCTCCTCTATCCCAAAACTTGATTTAGCAGATCTACATGGCTGAGAGGCTGTCATAGTCTGTTTTATAATAAGACAACTAACTGAGCTTCTAGTGGTATGTCAAAGAACTAAATACAAAACTATAGCGTTAAAAAAACTCCAAACAAACCCAGAAAAACAAAAATTACCATAAATAGCAAATCAGAGATTCATTAGTTCAGGAAACAGCCTCAGTTAATTCTAAAAATCACTGCCAATTTTATACCTGATGTGGATAGGCATCTCCTGAACCCATTTGTCTTTTGTTCTGGTCAAATATAATCCACAGTTGGCTGTCAAATTCTGATTCATATAATAGTTCACAAAGTAGTGGGCAGCTTGGAGTTACTTCCCCACTCTTGGGCTATAAAAAAAAAGAATAATTACTTGATATAATTTATATGATTTCTAATGCAGATTTGTAATACTGCTGTTGATGAGATTTTTACATTACAAGTATTAAAAATATTTTCCTCTGGTAACCAATTTTAAAAATGCAGAACATCCAATATTTTGGCACTAATTAAAGGTATTTTTCTTTAACAAGTTTTTAAAAATACAAACCTAGCTATTTGTAAGCATTAATGAATACTATATATTCTTCAGTACCTCTAAGTACTTTATAAAACTGAAATTTGACAATCATTGAAATCAATCATCTCCTGAACATTAAAACCAAATTCATATTATGCTTCAATAAGAGTTTCGCTGAAATCTTACTGATCCTACATAAACTCTTAAGATTCTATATTTACAGTAGTCTCAACTACCTTTACTGCTCATTCAACCCAAGAGGTATTCTGACTTCTCATTGTTTTAACGCCTGCTTCAGAGAAAAGCAATCAGACCCGCTCTCATAATCAGACAGCATCTGGCGCTGATGAGACCTCTAACCACTGAACAGGTATCAATGAATACAGAAACTATGGCTCAAAGGCCAGGTCACCACTAAATTAGTTTATGACTTCAGACCCAAATAGTACTTGGACCATCAGAGATTATAATTTCCCAAAGAATAATTTCAAATTAACCAGTGTTAATTATTTGACTCTATTTTCATACATATACACACACACATCTATACTAAACTGCTTGTCTTTCTGTTTTTGACTTTATGATTCATGAACAAAAAAGTTCATTTTGAGGTTATACTTTAAACACTTACCTGATGAAAGTTATAAGTCAGGATCATCTCATAAAGCTGACGATTATTTGGCAAAACATCTCGTGATCCTAAAGGTTTTGTTTTTGCACTCAGTGGGCTGTAATTAGACAAATGCGTAAGTAATTTGATTCAGGAGTTCATCTACTGAGAGAAAGGAAACTATAACCAAAAAAATCTATTACACAGTACAATAAAAGTGACAATAAGCATTCCTAAACTCTGTCCTTCTCAGTATATTTTATAATATTTTAATCATCAGCTTATAGAGTTCTTTACTGACTGAACCTTAGCAATACATAGTGTTTAAAATTTGCAATATTATGGAAACATTTTCAAACATAAACAAATAGTTCTTAACATAATCAGATCCCAATATTAGGGCAATAACTGCTAACAGTGTTAAGGACGGACAGCTTTTGACGTGCGCCCTCCTGTCCACAAACTGCAGATGGCAACGCACATGTCACAGGAGGGGTCCTGTAGGTGCCACACTGAGAGCTTCATCACATATATGTTACTTAAGGCTCGAAGCTACTGCTGGGGCTGCCTCTTAAGAGAGCTGCCAGGATTCCTAGGCTGCGAAGTCAGAAACTGCATTTTCATCTCCAGCACTCAGATGATTTAAAAAGATGACTCTTTTCAAAGAGTGCAAGAGATGTCCCCACTCCCACCATGCCAATGCTCAACACCTGTAGCCCTGAAACACTAAATGATACCGGAGGGTCTGGACCCAGCTCTTCAAAGTTATGCAGGGAGCCAGATCTTCATACTTCAAGGAGGACTGAACATCAAAACGATTGATTCCTTCCGACGCATGCTACAAAGAATATTTATCAAATTAGGTTCTCAAGCTTTATTGATAATAAACCGTATTTTTAAACATTTGGACCTAAAATAAACTTGTCTAATGCAAAGTTTATAAGCATCCATGAACAAAGACGACTGTTATTTTCAGAACCACAAGTAATCTGCCCATTAACATTTAAATCCAACCAGTGAATTATTTCTCAATAACACAAATAACTGACATTAAAAATGATGGAAATGTGGAACTTACAATGTTTAACTGAGGAGCAGTACACACTATTCCATGGAAAGAAATGGTATAATCAATATTGACATCACTAAGACTTGCCCACCAACGAGCAATGCAAAACTCAATTGCTTTCCCACCCTGTAAAGAACAATAAAAATCACAAATGTGTAAATCCCTTTTCTCCTTTTCTTTCAAATTACTGAATATAAATAGTGTTTTAAAGCAATTCTAGCTTTTTGTACAGCCGTGTGTGGAGTTACAAAATTACAGTTGCAAAGACAGAGTACAGGCGTTTAAACACACAGTTATCTACTCAGACTCCTACGGTGCTTGTCATAGAAGATCGGAGGCAGCTTTTGGGAGCACACACAACAAAATAATAGTGAAAACAAACTGGAATAAAAACTTCAGACCAAAGGAAAAATGGCAAGAACAATGATAAGAAAAGGCGTGGGACAGCTCTGTAAGGCAGAGTCAATACCCGCAGCGGAGTTTCAGGCTCAGAGCTGCCTGGCCATCAAAGCAAAATGAAATTATGGTCACTTACATCTTTCTCCCTCTTAAAAAAAAATTAAAAACAAAAACCATTTTTAGTGCTGAGTTTTAAATTAGGTTTTCTAGTAACCAGTACGTTACGAAGTCTGCGGGTGGGTCAGAGGACACTAGCACAGACAAGAGCACCAGCCGGCATCGGAGACCTAAGAGACCCAGGAAGGCCGCTATCACCGCGTGAACACACGAGGCAGCAGGCTTAAGAAAGAGCATCAGTCCGCTCGGCTTCTGTGGAGGAAGAACCACAGCCCAGGGAGGGTGGGGACCTGCCACACGGAGGTCATTCCGGTGGAAAGCAGCAGCGGCCTCACCTACACGGCAAAACAGCCTCCTGCAGTCTTCACGGCTGGGCATTAATAAAATAACAAGTAGAAAAATCTTAAATAAGGAAGTAATTTCCTGTGTGATGAGGAAACAATCCCAATCAAGCTCCACGGTATAAGCCATCAGAATCTAGCAGACCAGCACCTTCCTTTGACTACATTTATTGAAGAGTTCAAATGATTACCATTTACCTCCCACTTGGTCTCAAGTACCCCACTGAGACTACCCACCTTCCTACTTTGTTTATTTAGTGTTAATAAAATATTCAGCCCCAATACAGTCTGAATACAAACTATAAAATCAAATTCAAATACTGAGTCTTAGCCTATACCAAAAATAAAAAACGAAATCATTTTTGGGATTTCAAACCGGTAATTAAAACTTACTAAGACAGGAAAAGCTTCAGTCAGTGTTCCTTTTTCTGGAAGGGAACAAAACTTATAGAATTCATGACTTCGATACGCTCTTTGCTTCACAAGCTGCACCGCATGAAGAACAAACTTGGCTGACACCTCAGAAGAACACGAACACACAGTAACTTCTAAAATGAGAGGGGAGGAAGCCAAGTTTTAAACTGAGAGGATTTAAAACAGACATATGATTGTCTTAATACCAACTTTTTAGAAAACAACGTCTCAAGGAAAAAAAAATGATATATTCAAAGGAAATCTGCATATTTCCTTAAAAACAAAGAATCAACAGAACATTAATCAAGATGAAAGGGTAGGAAAATAAACAAATCAGTATTAAAATTAACAACTGCTATGCTGCAAACACCACGGAACAGCAAGCTGTCCATGGATGGACACAATTTTCCTAATCAGGTTATTTTCAAAACCCTTTGCCCCTCTGCTGCTATGAGGAAACTTGCTTTTATGAAAAACCAACCAATTCCTGATAAAGAAAATCTTAATTTTAGAAATTTCTATTTGTTATCATGCCTAAATTCCATTAGTGTCTATTTATTCAACTTCATTGATAACTTCCTAGTCTCTCCCTCCTGTCTACTTCTAGAAAGTATGACCATCAACTACACATCCTCAGCTTTATTCTGAGGCAGAGCTGGAGGCAAAACCAAAATCACCGTGAAGCAGAATCAGCATCTTATCTAATGCACACCCACTCTAATACAGGGAACTTAAAGCAAGGCTTACGTCTCTGGTTCACAAGGTCAAGTGGGCGCAGAGCTCTGTGAACCTAATCAATTGCTAAGAATAAAAAATCTAGTGTTAGGACAGTATTTCTAATTATTTGAAATAGGACACATCTGCAGTACATTTTTTTTTTTTTGCTTTGATTCTTTATCTCCCCCATTTTACTGACACACAATTGACAAATAACATTGCATAAGTTTAAGGTGTACACTGTGAGGATTTGATATATACATATATACTGTAAAATCATTATCACAATAAGGTTAGTTAACACATCAATCACTTTACATTCACCAATTTTTTTTGGTAGTGAGACTATTTCAGATCTGACTTTTAACAAATTTCAAGTACGTAACAGAGTTAACTACAGTCACCTTGCTGGACTTTAGATTCCTCGAACTTATTCACCTTATAAGTGAAAGTCTGTACTCTCTGACAACCATCTTCCCATTTCCTCCCCCTCCCCCAGCACATTCCTAATCTAAGACTGCTGAATGCTCTGAGCTACTTCCATTATGGATCATTCAATAAATTCCTATTTAAAAAAAACCTAATTATTTTCAATACCAACCAAGACAAATCATAATTAGAGCACTGTAATTACTGGCATTTACCGTTGAAAAGATACTAGATTCAATATTAATTAACCATAGATTTTCCTTCAGTATTATTAGTGTACATTTTATCAAAGCTCACTGTTCGACAACTCCATGGGGCCCTGTAAGAATTAGGTAGCCCAGAGTTGTTCAACAATACAATTCTGACTCTAATCATTAACAGATACGGTATTATTCTAAATTAAGTTAAAATCTTGAATGTTAAAACGTCTTAAGATAGCCTGAATGATCTGATGTGTCAACCGTGCAAAATAGTACGAGATCTTAACAATATTTCAAACCTAACAGCAAATCTAGGGTGTCAGATGTTGTACTGTTATGACAAAAGCGTGGATTAGAGACATACACACTTTCTGTGGTCACAATCCTAGCAGAGATAGAAGGTACATAAAGATAAGTGGTCAGGACAGACTCAAATGTTACTTACCAGCCCATGTTGCACCCTCAGGAACCTCAATAAAATGCCTTCGAATTTGACCAGGTTTAAAATGTACATCTGTCAAGGCTAGATCATAATGTGACGATTCGTTTACTCTGAAAATAAAAATAAATGGCCAAATGTGATGCTGTCACCCAGAGAGACTTTATATTATAAGCCCATTGGTACTCTAGATTTTAATAGTTCATCAGAAACAAACACAGGGATTTAAAAGTTGGTTACAAAACAATGTGCACAACATTATCTCATTTCTGCAACATGTCAGCGGTGGTAAGTTCCGGATAGCCCAGTGTAGATGATTTTTCTTTTTACTTGTCTCTGCTACAATTTGTCTATAAGACACACATATACAGCTCCCTCATTCACAGGATTTCCCTATTATTAGAATCTGAACTATCATGAGTCCTAAATATTAAAATCAAAGGTGATGTTTTGTGTCACTGATTCTGTCTTATAGCTCTGAGACTGGTATCAAACTCCTTATATAGCTCCAAAATACCCCGTGCCACCATGACACAGGAAAGAAGAAAACTATTTCCATAGCATTTTTGTAAGAAACCAGTGACACATAAAGGTCAAATGTGTAATTTTCTACTATGGAGACCTAAAGAATATGCAAGGGACAAATTTTAGTCGGTATGACAAACACTTAATGAGCGCCCAGTATATATACGAGGCACTGTTGTTAAGAGCTACAAATACACTGAATACATTTTCCTTTGCCCTGGCCAATCTCAGGAGGACAGAAAAACCACCAGAAACATTTAACATAATATGCTCTGGGTGGACAGAAGTGTTAGTGGAAAAGACATAAAAGATAGGTGGTTCGTGGAAAAGCTTCCTGAAGGAGATGATGTCTCAGCTGATTCCTGAATCTTATAAATTATCTTGTCTAATTTCCTACTGGACTTCAGGGAAAATCTGAGAATTTAAGTGTTCTGCAATTTCTCCGTGTGTGTGTCACTTTTTATCTCCTGAATCTCATCTTATGTTTCTTACGGGCTGAGACCTGCTGCATACTTATTATTTACCAGTTAACTAACTCAGTACAAACTATTAACTGAGAACTCTCCGTTGTCTCCAGAATTCTCATCTCAATCTTGTCCTTCATCTACTGAACAGTTTGTTTTGTTCTGAAGATACTGTATAATGGGCACCACAGAGGAACCTGTAGGGCACAGTCCCTGAGTCTTCAGTGGGCTCACAGTCAAATGGGGTAAACCAAAACTAACAACGTCTTGGCTAAAGTCTGTACCGCAGACGGGGTGACAGGAAATGCTGGCTCTGAAGGACTGCTGTTTGCTATTTTAGAGAGCATGATCCTGGGCAGAGCCACCAACAGATGTTAAACAGGAAGCAGTACGACGGGAGCAGAGTTCCTCGGTTCTGGGGTAAAAGACAAGAAGGGAAGGGAGAGTCTGGAAACAGTGACAGGAGAAGTGGAAGAACCAGAGAAAACAGTGATCCCACAGATGGGGTGCGACGGTGGAGGCGGGTGAGGGATGAAGAAGGGACGAAGCAATACTGTCCAATACTGCAGATGGATCAGACAGGGGCATTGTCATCCCAGTGGAATTTTGGCACAGGGAAAGGGCACGGGAGATGCCACCGGGGATTCTCACAGTCAACAAGCAATAGAAAGACCACATCGCACTTGAATTTTGTGAGCAAGAAGCAGAACTAAAGCCCAGTTACCTGATTCTGGTCTATTCATCCTTTAAAAGTTCACACTATTTCCATAAATAGCCATTAAAAAATTCCATGTAACAGTAAGCTGTTGGTAACTTGTTACTTACTTGGTTGCTATAACTGCAGTGATTGGAACTCTGAACAGAGGACCTGCATTAGGGGATGCTATATCATAGCCACATACCTTGAAAAAAGAGTAAGTTTCAGTAACCATAAACTTTTACAAGAGAAAAAGAAAAAAAAAAAAAAAGTGAAATCTATTCACAGAGTAAGTTAATCTAACATTAAAATGTAAATGTCTTGGGGTGCCTGGGTGGCTCAGTCGTTGTCTGCCTTCGGTTCAGGTCATGATCCCAGGGTCCTGGGATCAAGCCCCACATCGGGCTCCCTGCTCCGCGGGAAGCCTGCTTCTCCCTCTCCCACTCCCCCGCTTGTGTTCCCTCTCTCGCTGTGTCTCTCTCTGTCAAATAAATAAATAAAATCTTAAAAAAAAAAAAAAGTGAAGGTCTTAAACACAAGTTCACGCCAATTTTCTGACGTTGGGTCACATAATTAACAGCAAATAGCCTAAACAAATGCATGCATACCCACCCTTGACCACTTCAGACCAATGGGGAAAGAGACCACCACACAGGGCACTCTCACACATTTCAGAGTATTCAGAAAGTAGCACTGAAGATGCACCAATACCTCTGTATAATGTAATCCTTCTCTTAAGCCCCTGGGATCCACACGTATGTTTATGTGTCTACATTGATTCATGAGTTCCAAATGGCTGGGACACTGAACCCAAGATGAATTTGAAGTTAAAGCTAAATGAAGCTGAAGGGATATTTTTTCAGCGTTTTCTAGCATGAAAAAGACCAAAAATTAAAGATTAGTACTTTTTTCCTTTTCTTCCATTTTAAAAAGTTCTATCTTCTCATAAAATCTAGCAGATGAGTTTAATCAGCTGTAAAACGCACTAGGGCCTGGGCTTCCAAAACACAGCTTAAATAAAGCAGTCACAGAACCTTCCCTACGTCTTAGGGCACTTGTGATCCATTCACACTTTTATCCAACATGGCTGTAACCTTAAAATAAGGCGTTTTCGTGAATATCTGTCATTACTGCATGCAGATAACAGCATCTGACTGAAAGGAAGGTGCAAAGTACACAGTGGTGACTACTTCATTTACACCTCCTTGAGCTGCGGTTTTCCCTGGCTGCTTCTACTTCCCATTCTCCAACTGAAACTCTCTCTTACACCCAAGTAGTAAAAGTGGTAAAGAAAAGGAACTGGATGCTTTACTATCCACAATTCGATAAAACCCTGGGTCACTGAAGGCCCAGGCTACTGTTTTCCTCAGTGGTCACCAGGCTGAGCTGCGATGATACTGGGATCCCTGCTTTGCTATCACATCCATCCCCCTTAAAATATATATGATTTAAAATAATATTATTGTTAACTCATGTTTTCTCTTTAGAACATTAACCCAAATGGCATTTCTCTCATACGACAGTATTCATTCAAACCACAAATGTGAGCCCTTCGGCTTACTGTCCATTTATTACTAACCGGTATTTTCCGGAAACACAGGTTCAATGCCAACGCCATGATCTGAAGGTGCAGCCACCTGAACAGGGTCTCGGAGGTAGATGCCGCGGTTATTTCCAACAGTAACAGTGAAACCTAATTTATTAGCAAATGATGTATTCTGAACGAGGTAGTCATAAGCTTTATCAACCTAATTAGAAGAATACAAACAGTAAAATATCAATGGTTCGGTCAAGAAAACATTTCGTTATAAATTACCAATTTGATTTCAGTTGTAAAAAAAGTACAGGCAAAAAGCTGGTTTCTACATTCGCCTCTCTAAACTACGTGGTAACCCCACATGAGGGGGCAAGTCTACCTTTTCAGACAAAGCACCAGCCCGACCACTCACCTCCAACTCCGCTCTCTAGATTCACACAGCTCGTCCCAAGTAACCAAAATCAGGCACTCCTCCATATGCCATTAGATTCACAGGTTTTGCCCTCGCCATCTTCACCTGGAATTTCTACCCTCCATATGACTTAGGTTTACTGTATTTCTCTCTTACTAAAACAAATCTGTCTCAACTACAAAATCTGATTTCATATCCTCTTTGCTTACCAGTTCAGAAACTATTATGATCATATAACGAAAAATTAGATAAACTCAATCACTGTTACAACAGGAAATGTTATCCAGTAATAGCTAAGACCGTATCTTAATGATTAATCTATCTTTCGTAACAAACAACACTACCTGAATAATACCATGTCCTTGGGCAAATACTTCTATATTGTCAGCCTTTACTGCAGTATTTTCTAGAGCTCTTCTGACTGAATGAACCGTGTAGTTAACGTTATTAGCTTTCAGACCTGAAATGTGAAAAAGCAAAAACAAGAAAGGAGTATTAGAGAGTTTGCTACTTGAAACCTTCTTCCCCTCACCAGTAGAGAGAACACGTACATTCTCGGGCTTTAAGGTCCTGTGTTTCAACACTCGTTTCTTAATCTTTTTGAAAAAACTAAACTACAACAGCCTAGCTCAAACTGCTAGCATCACGCGAGGATCTCATTCAGTAAAAATCGAAGTGTGTCCGTTATGCAAGGGCACCAGTGTGCACTCTGCGAAGGTGATGCAAACGTGTGAAGCAGATACCTGAAGGCATTCGAATGACATTTTCTCTAAAACACTGCTGGTCAAGTGGGTACCCGGTTGGCTCAGATGGTAGAACACGTGACTCTTGATCTTGGGGTTGTAAGTTTGAGCCCCTCGTTGGGTGTGGAGATTACTTAAATCTTAAAACACTGCTGGTCAAACGATATGGTCGCCAGGGATACTAATCAACCTGGCTGTGTTACAGAAACCAAGGGAGCTTACAACAAACCAGCAAAAAAGATGCCCAGGCCTGACCACAGCTCAATTAATTCCGCATCTTTGAGACTGAATCCCAGGTACTGATACTGACTAAAAGCTTCCTGGGTGGGGCGCCTGGGTGGCTCAGTTGGTTAAGCGACTGCCTTCGGCTCAGGTCATGATCCTGGAGTCCCGGGATCGAGTCCCGCATCGGGCTACCTGCTCGGCGGGGAGTCTGCTTCTCCCTCTTCCGCTCCCCCCTCTTGTGCTCTTTCTCTCTCTCAAATAAATAAATAAAATCTTTAAAAAAAAAAAAAAAGCTTCCTGGGTGATGCCAGGAGTAGCCAGGCTGGGAATGACTGTTCTGTGGGAAGGGTATGGAAGCCACCAATTTGTCAACTTTGTGTTGAATACTGTTGTTAGAGATAAAAGAGTAATACCGCATTCCTGTCCACTCCAGAGTTCATCAAATGTATGCGCACTTACAATATGTCAAGAAACGAACAAAACAAACATGAAAGTATGCTGCTTTAGGAGTGAATCGAGAAAGGGGCGCCTGGGTGGCTCAGTCATGAAGCATCTGCCTTCGGCTCAGGTCATGATCCCAGGGTCCTGGGATCCAGCCCCGCACTGGGCTCCCTGCTCGGTGGGAGGCCTGCTTCTCCCTCTCCTACCCCCCCGCTTGTGTTCCTGCTCTCGCCATCTCTGTCAAATAAATAAATAAAATCTTTAAGAGTGAATCAAGAAAGTGGCCAATTTTGTCAGTGAGAATCCAAAAGAAGGCGACGCTTTATGAGGGGAAGGAATAGGAGTCGAATCTTACCAGAATGTACGGGAGTTTGCAAGGCCAAAAAATGGCACAAAAGAATTCTAGGCAGAGAGACTACGCTGTACAAGGACGGGAGGCTGGAGCAACCCTGAGATGTGGTGAGGTTGAAGAGAACTAGAAATGAAGGCAGAGAGTCCTGGGACCTCATGAGAGGAACGCTCCTAACGAGGAAGCTTTGTGACAACCGGGTGACGGTAACTGAGTCCCAGTCAATGCCAATGCCACCTGATCAATACCGTGAGCCTCTGGCACACCACCCCAGAAACTCCCACCTCCCTTCCCACTTTAGTTATCCCCACAGCAATATTACCTTTTAATGTGCAATATAAACTAATTTTAAATTCTATTTAGTCTGTCTCCCACAGCTATGATAAATTCCACAGGGGCGGGTACTATTGAGCCAAAATAATGCTTGAGAGTCATTAACAGCAAATAAATGTATTTGTTGAATGAATGAATACACATTCAAATCCTTATTATCACACAATTATTCGCCATCTTAAACTTTACTTTGAGCCAGGACATGACCAATTCCACACATTTTCTCACCATGAGAACTTCAGAAAACACAAATATCTGTCTGCAATAAAGTAAGAGAAATGTATTCAGTTACTTTTTGTGACCACTGCCTGACTTCGTATTATGCTATAAACTGAAAACAAGAGTAAGTTAGACCAAGTAGAGCACTAAGCAATGTCCTTACCTGAAAGTATCAGGGCGATGCCCCCACACGCATTGGGAGAAGACATGGACGTCCCGTTCATTAGCTGAGTTCCTCTCAACGTCCAGTTGGGAACAGAAGCAATGGCTCCTCCGGGCGCGCTGACACTTACTCCGAGGGCCCCATCAGCACTAAACGAAAAGCCATTAAAGTCTGCTTACGATGGTGAGAACTGGATCAACACGGGCATTCATAAAAAGGCCACTAGTCAAACAGATTAGAGCACAATACCATGGATAATTTGCAGTATTGGAATCAGTTGTAAAAAAAATACCCAGCACAGCTATTTCCCCGTTATGTAGCAATTATCTTCCTTAAAAGTGGACAAAATCTGGTGTGTTTGTATGTATCTGGGATTATGTGCAAAAGGTATCAGGTATCTTTCTGGAAGGAAAATAAATTGTCATTGCTCACACTCCTTGATGAATGCACTTTTTTCTTGTCTGCAACAAGTAGAAGCTTTGCCTTTATCTAAAGTTTAACATAGCATTGTCCAATAGAAATATGTGAGACACAGGGCATTTATTTTTTAAAGATTTAATTTATTTATTTGAGAGAGACAGCATACACGCTTACATGTGCGCATGCTCAGCGGGGGGGAAGGGCAGAGGAACAAGCAGACATCCCACTGAACTCTGAGCCCAACATGGGGCTCCATCCCAGGACCCTGAGATCATGACCTGAGCCCAAGGCAGCCGCTTAACCGACTGAGCCACCCAGGCACCCCCAGAGGGCATTTAAAACTTTCCAAAAGCTGCATTTAAAAAAAGCTAATGAGAAACTGGTGAAATTTCTTTTAATAATGTATTTTATTTAACCCAACATATCCAAAATATAATTTCAGTATGTTATTAGTAGAAATAAATGAGTTAACTTATATCCTTTCTTGTACTAGTCTTAAATATCTCACGGACATCTCACACTTAGAGCCTATCTCAATGCAGACTAACCTCACGTGACTCAGAGCTGTCACACTGTATGGCTCAAGTCCGTGGGCCCCCTCGTTGAGGGCCCTTGACTCCACAGGGTAATGAGATAATGCACACATAGTTCATCGCCATGTAGTCACCCTACACAAGCTCTGTCCCGGCCCCAAGTAAAGGAATAACACGATGACACGCTAACTTCGTCTTCCCTGGAAGAGTGGCCGAAAGTTCCCCACAGAAGCTGTCGGCCCCTCCCTTCTACCACTCTTCTCCAACTGACTGGACTATTCTTATTACTGGCTAAGAATACTAGTGCACTTTGGTTTCAAATTTTCAGAGAGCTGAACTCAATGTAAATAAGATCCCCCTCCTGAAATGGGTTGGTGGCACCTCGTTTAGTGATTATCTTAAAATAAACACTGTTAGATAAAGACATATTGACCTGTAAAGACTTTCATACAGTATTACTGAGTGACAAAAGGTTACAAAGGTGCCTGAATACTGTGATCTCCCATTTATGCACACGACAATGACTAAAAGATGTGCACCAAAATGTCACCCAAACACATCACAGACAGTGAGATTTAGGGTAATTTTTACTTTCTTCTTTGCACCGTCTATATTGTCTACCAACATTCACAATGAGCACGTGGTATCTTGTAACCGGAAGAGTCATAAATTCTAATTGACTACCCCCGTTGCTCTCTATTCATTTTACACTACTCTGTTAGTGATTAATCACAAAGCATTTACTAAGTGCTCTAAAAAAGGGTTCCATGACTCTGAGAAACAAACTGAGGGTTTTAAGAGGGGAGAGGGGTGGGGGAATGGGTTAGCCTGGTGATGGGTATTAAGGAAGGCACATACTCAATGGAGTACTGGGTGTTACATGCAAACAATGAATCATGGAACACTACATCAAAAACTAATTATGTAAGGTATGATGACTAACATAAGGTAATAAATAAAATTAAAAAGAAAAAATAAAAAGGATTCCATGATATGTAAATATAATTTTTATTAAAAAAAAAAAATTGGGGGGTGCCTGGCTGGCTCAGTTGGTAGAGCTGTGTGTGACTCAATCTCAGGGCTGTGAGTTCAAGTCCCATGTTGGGCATGGAGCCTACTTAAAAAAAATTATATATATACAAATAAAGTAAAATTTTCTTTACATATAACTTTCATATTCCTTATTAAAAAACTTTACATAAACATAAGTTTCCTTAAAAAAGCTAGTGATGTTTTTCTTCTAAAATGTAGTATGTAATAAAAATTTAAAACATGCTTATGTAGACAGTATTTGGTAATCCGTCTTTAAGAAATATGCCATACTTGTAAACACCAGGAAGTCAAGTAAATTCTGTATGTCTGACAGTCTTTCCTGACAAAGAGGATTTTTCAAATAGTACACAGAATATGCCCCGTTCAGTGATCACTACTCAATGTTTTATACCCTAATAATTAAACCACATATTTGCAATAATATTCCATGTTTATAGCACAGTAAACATGAACAAATTCTCTCAATTCCTAGAATAACTGGTTTGCGAACCAAGCTTCCCCCATAATTCATGAACTCATTTTTAAAGATTCTTTTTTTTTATTTATTCATTTGAGACACAAATATACACAGCGAGAGAGCACAAGCAGGGGGAGGGGGAGAGGGAGAAGCAGACTCCCGCTGAGCCAGGAGCTCGACGTGGGGCTCCATCCCAGGACCCCGGGATCATGACCTGAGCCAAAGGCAGACACTTAACAAACTGAGCCACCCAGGTGCCCATTCATGAACTCATTTTTCTTTCTTTTTTTTTTTAAAGATTTTATTTATTTATTTGACAGAGAGAGACACAGCGAGAGAGGGAACACAAGCAGGGGGAGTGGGAGAGGGAGAAGCAGGCTTCCCGCGGAGCAGGGAGCCCGATGCGGGGCTCAATCCCAGGACCCTGGGATCATGACCTGAGCCGAAGGCAGACGCTTAACGACTGAGCCACCCAGGCGCCCCAATGAACTCATTTTTCTTGAAATAATTCTTTAAATGTTCTACGGGCAAATAAGACTAACAAAGGCTGGTTTAAACATTCTTTGTTACTTTGTGCTTATATTGACTGTACATAAAATATTTCAAAATCAATTTTAGAAGAGAATCAATAAGTTTAATAATTAGTACTTTTATTAACTGAATATAAAACATGTAAACCTTTGCCAACTTTGACTCTGAATCCTGGCCACTCTTATTCAGATGTGGAGTTTTAGGCCAATTAGTTGGGCTGATGTGGGCAGTATATGGTGGTGATACAGGAAAGGCTTGATAATCCACATGGAGACCTATAGCCTGAGTGCTTTCACTAACAGTTATAGTAAACTACTGAAATAAGTTTATTTTTTAAGAAGAAATTATCTAGGAAAGAGTAGGAAGATATCTGTAATTCAGAGGATTAAATCTGGCATTGGTATACCACATTTGACCTGATTCCAACCAATTTTTCTCATCTTTTTTTTTTTTTAAAAGATTTTGTTTGTCTATTTGAGAGAGAGAGAGAGAGAGAGAGAGAGCACAAGCAGGAGGAGTGGTAGGCAGAGGGAGAGGGAGAAGCAGACTCCCCGCCGAGCAGGGAGTCCGATGCTGGGCTCGATCCCAGGACCCTGAGATCACAACCTGAGCCAAAGGCAGACACTAAACCAAATGGGCCACCCAGGTGTCCCCAGTTTTTCTAATCTTATACGCAGAACAGTTATGTCATACATCTAACAATAAAATATCTGTAATTTATTCCTTTAATTATGTTTCCCTGAAATTAGATTGTTCCTCAAAATGAAAAAGTTGAAAAGCAAAAACCAAAAAGTACCTGGTAAAGTTACCAAAACTTTGTCCCTTCCCACCATGTAGTTTAACAAAATAGTTGTAACAGACCCGTGTACTACTCTCAACCTACCTGGGGCCTCTTGAAGACCATGTGTACTGATTTGCTGGTAATTTCTCTCTCAGAGAATACTCAGCAACCATCATATCGGGAGAAACATATGCACCAACACCTGTGGGATGAATTTCATCATGAACAAAAGGACATAAAATTAGATCCTAATTCTAAACCCACTGTTCACTCAGCTGTGTGACCATGCTAAATCACTCAATCACCCTGTACCACAGTCCTTGTTCATAAATGGAAAGAAAACTTAATAAGCAAGGAAAGTTTACTATGTACCAGACATTAAACTAGGTGCTTTGGTTTTGAATATAAAAACACCTACCAGGATTCTCATGTAGATTAAAGACAAAAATATACCTAAAACTGTGTGTAAAAGAAAAAGAGAAATTTGTTTTAAACTATAAAATATAACTTTAGGAAAATAACGGAATTAGTTTGCCTTCATTTTTAAATGACCATTGTATCCAAAATTCTACCCATAAAGTTGGCAGTATCCCTCTTCCACAAAATGGCTGTAAAAACGAGCAAACAGCAAAGACATTTAACATGCTGCAGTCTTCCAGATAAATATGTAAAGGCAGACTAGTCAAAAAGGCTCTAAATTCATAGACTTACAGGGATCAAACTCAGTTTCTTCATCCTAGAAATCTGGAAATGGCCTAGAAAGGGCTGAAAAAATGTACTAAACGTATAGTGACTGGCAGAGAAAAGACTTAGAATCCAGGTCGGCCAGCTCCTAATTCTTTACAACATATATACATGCAGAATAGAAGACTGGATAAAATATGTGAGTTAAGAGGATTTAGGTTAACAGTGCTGCCACTGTTATAAAAAAATTGTAATCACTTGTAAAATGTAGTTTAAATTTTTCAGTGAGTCTGGGGATAAGAAAATGCCAAAATACGGAGTACTGTGGCAGAGGGGTGGATTTTGATCTTTAAGTACCTTTCAGTTCTATTTTGTTTCATTTTAATTTGTGTATTTAAAATATCTAGAGAACCGAAATACAAAGGACAGATCACTGGTAGGCACTGTTGTCTCAACACACGATTTAACAATTACTTCAGCAAGAGGTTTTAAATTACACAAAGCAAGCTACACCTTGCTTGAGATTTAGAAGCTATAAATAAAAGTATGCCCTATAAGCTAAGATCACGGTTATTTAAATTTTTTAAAGGACCAGTTTCTAAACTTGGATACCCAAATATTATTATGTATCTGTAACATACAATATCTGTATGCCTTTAATAATAACTATAATATGTATACATTCAAGCAGTTAATGATGTATACATCAGAAAAATTATTTGGGACCAAACAGTGTTTCTTGTCACGCATCCAATTACAAATGTTAAGAGGTATTATTAGCCTTATACTGATCTCAAATTTAAAAATAAAGGAAAAAATTCTAGGCATCAATTATGACCTATTTGTTCTCTGAGTTCATTATCCTCCTCATTCATGCCTTGTATTAAAAAACAGGGGTGGGTGTTACGCTTTGTGGGTGTTTTCGCACAAGTTGGGAGCTACAGCTAATTTTATCATTTTCATATTATGTATGCAACTCATTTTGATCTCCCTTAACTCTTGTTGAGGGGCATCTTCCCCATCGAGTGCAGTGAAACAGACAACACCACATCATACCCGACAGACCGAACGGTGGAAGAGAAGCCACGTTCATAGAATAAATGTGTTTCAACTGCTTTTCTTCTCATTAATAAAGCTCGCTTTCTTGACATCTGATTCTCTCTGCATGACCCAAGAGAAATTAAAGGAGGAAACTATACTATAAATAAGCAGTCATATACTATAAATAAAAAGTGAAGCAAGTCTCTGTGTTTATGTTGCTTACTTAGTCTGGAAAAGCCTTTCCTTGCTCATTTCTACCTATCGAAATCCTCACTGCCACACTTCTTTCCGAAAGCCTCACTTGGATTCTTGAATCAGAAGTACCTGCACTTCTGCTAAGCCAGACTGCCCCTGTGCCTGCCTCACACCACTTCCTCCCACCCGCCTCAGGGTAGCAGCTCTCCGCCAGACTCTGCCTTCCTGAGGGCACACACTCAAGGTCCAGAGGGGCTTGCATACAGCAGAGATACAATTAACGTCAGATTCCCTGCTTGTTTTTAAACAAGTCTATTTCTCAAGCAGGAAGCTAACCTATGACACTGGATGTCGTTCCACCCGGACAGCCGACCGTAGAAAGACATGGACCGTTATTCCCAGCGCTTGAAACGTAAATGATGTTATGCTTCCACACTGCTTCACTGATTACTTCACAAATTCTCCTGAAACACAGAGAGCAGTTCTTTGAGATAGAAAACAGTCCCATTTTTCAAGACATGTATTATTATACTGTGAAGAGATTTTTAAATACAGTTTTCATAAAAACCAAACTAAAAGATGGGTTCTTAGTAGTAGAACTCAAACAGTGGCTACAAGGAAGAGGTGTGCATTAGAAGCAAGGGACATTCGCAGACTATAAATGCTTAGCCTTATTCTCAGTGTGTATAATACCAAAATACTGTTAGAACATGTGGCTGAGTAACTTTTGGCACATCCACCGTTGGTGGAACATGACAGCCAAGCCAAGCGACACACCTCCGCTGGATTTTAGTGTAAGGAAGGAGTCATGAGACCAAGGTCAGTGTGGGAAGAATGCCAGATTCAACGTGGAATATAGGTAGGGCCCAAAAGCAAATACTGCAATAATAGAAGGAATTTGATTAGCTAGTGGGGAAACAGAGAGTTTGTCTTCCACCCTCCTCTTAATATAATGTATTTAGAAATGACTCCGCAGGGGATTCCTACATATATTTATGATTAGTGGCAAAGGTGAAGGGGAACTAAGGAAATAGGGAGAACTTCAGAGTAAGATTTAAAATACAGGGTCTCGTTAGAACTGGACAGCAAACAAGAAATGTACTGGTATTAAATAAAGGAGATGAAGTTAGACCATTGAGAAAATGCAGTCAACAGAAAAAAGGCATACGGCCAAGAACGCCACAATCCTGAGTGGGAAGGGAAGAACAGTAGGGAAAGATGACCTTAAAAGGATGAACGTCAAAGGAAGAAAGAAATACACTTAGGTAAAAAAAAGGTACTGAGGCAAGAGAAGAGGGCAAGTTTATGTTCACAAAAGAAATGAGTGAGGATGGCAGGGTGACTGTCACAAGGGCAGGAAAGTGATGTGTCACAAGAAACCTAGTCCTGATTATCGGAGAAAACTGAGCTATTTGAAAACAGCAAACTATAGGGTCTGGCTTGGTAAAATTTTCATCTTGGCAGAGCTTTATTAAAGAGCTTCAGAAACTGGGTGACAGGTAGATATGGATGGCCTAGTGGGAATGGGGGAGAGGTGACCACTAAGTAAACACTCTAAATGAAGTCATTTCAAAGTTATTATTGCGAAGAAAAAAAAGGTGAAGTAACATGAGTTCAAGGCTGAGCCGCTGAATTTAGCAGCAGGAGGACACCATGACACAAGAAGGCAGGGGGTCATGTGACACACATCAAACTGCACCAAGGAGCTTCAGCAATGGTGACCATACCAACCAACCACGCTCTGCTGGAGAAGTGAGGGAAAGCAGTGTGAAAGGAAGAGATCTGTCTGTCTGGGAGCAGTTTTTAAGGAGAGGAAATGGCAACCAGACAGCCAGTGCCTGAGTGACTTTTAACCCTGAGCACTTCATTTACTTTATTCATTTATTTTAATCTTTAAAGATTTTATCCAGTTATTTATTTGAGAGTGTGTGTGCATGCACGTGGGTGAGCACCAGATGGGGGAATAGGGATGGGAGGTGGGCAGAGGCGGAGGGAGAGAAAGAGGCATAAAATCTCAAGCAGACTCTGTGCTGAGCACAGTGCCCAACACGGGGCTCCATCCCATGACCCTGAGATCATGACCTGAGCTGAAACCAAGAGTTCGATGCTTAACCAACTGAGCCACACAGACGCCCCCCCAAGCACTTCATTTATTACACAAGAAGGGAAGGCAGAGAAGGTGGGGTCAGAGTAGGCTGTAGGAAGGTCAGGAGCCCCCTCTGAGGGCTTCTATCTTCTCTGGGAAAGAGGTAAGAACATTAGCTAAAGGAAGAAAGGACGGTCGCTGAAGGTCTTCGAGGAGAAAAGAAGGTGTAAATGACCATACAGGAGTGAAAGAGTAAATGCAGATGATCGAAGGCAATGCTGAGTGACCATCTGAGATTCCTGCTCACGAACTTAAAATACAATGTGAGTCTGAGTATCCAACTAATAGTAAGTTCAGCAGGTCAGGTGGGATCACTGAAGAGATAAGCAGGTTGCAGCAAGTCTAGCATTCTGTCAGGTCAGTACACCTGGAAGAGTTCAGGCTGCTTGTCAATGAGGAGCTGTAATGAGGGATGGGGCGGTGAGTCTTCCTGGCTAGGAGGGAATCACGACATCACAGACAGGACCGTGGGAACAGGGGCCGGGGGTCCACGAGATACACACTATCATCTAACCATGGGACTGCTCGTTTTCAGTTGTGGTGTACAATCCAGTTATAAAAACACTCCGTACTCTCCATCAGCTAAAGTCTACGGCTCACAAGTATCCGAGAACACTCACCCAGAATTTGGCCAGTGAGTTGCTTCTCCATAGCTGTAGTTGACAAGATCACACTTATGATTTATGACTTCTATCATCTATTAAAGAGATGAAGAGTCTAGTTTAGGCAGCAATTTATACAAAGATCAGCCAGTAAAATAAAGGCATGGAATCCCAGTTTCTTAACCAATCATCTTCTATTTCAAATCCAAATGTATCTGTTACTTCCAACTTTTAAGTTGAAAAACTTAAAAAAACAAAAAAAGGTAGGCAGGGACACAGAGTATAGTAAATAGTCAATAAAAAACACAACTAGCATGTGCAGAATGGAATGGTTCTTACTAAATTCTAAAATCACTGAAGTTAAAGTAAAATCTAATTCATACGTTAAAAGGAAACACAGACTGTAAATGAAATTCTTTCTAGACTGATGGAGCAAGCTGGATAAAAGGTCGGTGTGGGGTTTTTTTTTAAAGTATCTCAAAATAGTGTGCTAGGGGACTTAATAGAAATGAGAAGTATAATATTTTCGTATTTTCTAAAAAACTGCATCTTAATAATTTTTAATAAAAATAATTTAAAACTGCATTAGCGTTTTAGCTTCCTCAAAGTCCTGTATACCAAATACAGTCCAACATTTCTCAGTAAAATCAAGACCAACTTATAAACCTAGACCTACCCACGGTTACCCATCCTTTTTCTTCTAAAGCAACACCTCCCCAATACTCACGGCGCGTATAAGGCCCGTGCCTGTTTCCATCGTGCTCAGTCGGGTATCACCGATCTTGATGGAAAGAATCTGAGCACCGGGAGCTACACCATTCCGTTCAGGTTCTTCTGGAAAATGCCCAGCGGCTATACTAGCTACGTGTGTTCCATGAGCTCCTAGAGGCAAAAAGAGGGGACCACGACGGAATATTTTCAGAGATTCTAAGTTTTAACCATTCAATTTACGTATCACTAAGCATGATGAAATAAAAATATTCTCTCACTTTAACACCTAACTATATATTATTAAGTCTCATCAATAATTCACAAAAAAATGAAACTTTTTCAACTACATACACTATTCTGCTACCCTGGATTCTATCCTGTTCATTGAAAGCAAAATGCAAGTCACAAAGGTGAGAAAGGATCTGCAACATACACAACTGACAAAGTGCTTATATCCAGATTATAAGCTTTCTGATCCAAGAGAGAACCCAGAAGAAAAATGGGTAAAACACTTGAAAGCATTTCACAGAAGGGGGATAACCAATGGCAAATAAATATATGAAAAGATGTTCAACTTCATCAGTCATCTGGGGAACACAAATCAAAGCCACAATGAGATATGAGATAGCTCAGCATACCTTTCAGAATGGCTACGCCTTTACGGCCGACAACAGCAACTGTGGAGGAGGACGTGCGCTCACTCCTACATTACTGGTGGGAGTAGAGACCGGCATTTTGGAAAGCTGAACACAGGGCATACCTACGATCCAGCAATTCCACTCCCAGCCTTACCCCCAACAGAAATGCGTGCACATGCATGCTAAAAGACACATGCAAAAACATTCATGGCAGCACCGCTTGCAAAATTCAGAAACTTGAAACCAGACCAAGATCCATCAATAGTAAATGGATATATGGTGCATTCATGGATTAAATATTATACAACAATAAATAGGAACTACTTCTAAACATTGTGAGATGAAACACACAAAAATAAGGTTGATCTAAAGAATTCACACACAGAAGGATATATACTGAATAATCCCATGTATATAAATGGAAACACATCACCTTGGGTTGAACTATATGAAAGTGCCACTATTTAATAATTTCTGACCTATAAAAACAGCAATATTATTGGGTGGTTCAAACTAATGCAGTGATAGAAATCAGGACCGTAATTAACTCTGGGAGGACTGACGGTAGATTACTGTTTAGGAAGAGACAAGATGGGGCTTTGACAATGTTTTATTTCTTGACCTGGTTACACAAAAGTATCCACTTTGTGAGAATTCAATGTGTATACAATTTGTGATTTGCATACTTTTCCATAGTATGTCATATTATCAATAAAGCAAAAGCAAAACAAAACAGCTAGGGTTTCTTTTTTTAAGTGAAAAATTTTCTTAAAAGACATGGGTAGAGAGAAATCTCCCACTACTGTCAGATAAACAATAAACGCCTACTGGCACCAGGCCTTAATGTTTGGGTAACGACACAGTCGTCATAGCTCCAGAAGAAATGGGAGCACATGACCCTTCTGCCTGCTGCAATGCTCAGAGTCCCATGCTCTAGACACCTGCTGTCACACAGGAATATGGACCCAATGTCACCAATTCTTCCTTTCTTATTTTTTCCAATGAAAAATAGGGAAGCTGGATTTTAATGTCACCCCCTCCCCCAAACCACTTGCCACCACCAGTCAGAGTGGATAAATGTCAGCAGGCTGTCCAACACCACATGTGGACGAGAACGTGGAGCTCTGGAGTACTCGTAGTCTGCTGGTGGAGTGTGAAAGGGTGTAGCCACTGTGTTTCTTAAAAGGTTAAATACATACTTACCACATCCAACCAGTTCTCCTAGATACCAGTCCAAATTAAACAAAAACATATTTGCACAGAGACTTGGACCCAAATGTTAGAACAATCCAAATGTCCACTGATAGGTGAATGGATAAATGAACCACGGTGTATCCACATAATGAAATACTACTCAGCAATAAGGAACAAGCAATTTATAACCATAATATGGATGAATTTTATACTGTAACTATTCTACTTATACAAAATGTCAGAAAATGCAGTATCTAGACTGACAGCAAGCAGTTCAGGAGCTACCTGGGGCTGTGGGTAGAGACAGGGCTGGATTACAAAAGAAGACAAGCAGACTTACAGTGGGGATGGATATGTTCATTATCTTGACTGGGATAATGGTTTCCTGGGTATACACATCTATCAAAACTTATCAAATTGTGTATATATACATGCAGTTTATTGTACTTCAACTATAACTCAATAGTATTGGGAGAGGGGGTGATAAGAGTTAAAGCTGTCCTTGTTTCCTCCCTAGAAGTAACCACTATCCAGAAGCTGGTGTGTATATTCTTCCCATCTATATTTTCATCATACATACACACACACATCCATGAATACTGTATAGTATTATTTAGCATGTTTTACAATTTTACACAAATGTTTTATCAATGTATTTTTCACTAAAATTTTGTATTTGAGATTTATAAATATAGGTATATGTAGATCTATTCATTTTGTTTGCCATATAAATATTCCACAATGAATAATACAGTTTTAAATTAACCTGTTCTTTTGGATATTTGGAGAGTTTCCAACTTTTCTGAAATTACATAGACTGCCGTATGAGGATCTTTTTTTTTTTTTAAAGATTTTATTTATTTATTTATTTGACAGAGAGAGACACAGCGAGAGAGGAAACACAAGCAAGGGGAGTGGGAGAGGGAGAAGCAGGCTTCCCGCGGAGCAAGGAGCCCGATGCGGGGCTCCATCCCAGGATCCTGGGACCATGACCTGAGCCAAAGGCAGATGCTTAATGACTGAGCCACCCAGGCGCTCCCGTATGAGGATCTTTTTACCTGACTTTGTACTTGTAGGTGAATTGCTTAAGAGGTAGTATGTAGAAGTAAAGTTCCTTCCAAAGGAATTTCCATAATACGAATTATGTTGATGATTTTCTCGTGGCTGGACTATGCCTGTACTACTCTTGGAATGGATCCTACATCGTTATGACTTTAAAGAAAACAATACCTTACTAAGGGGATCAAATCCCATTTATTATCCCATACCTAGTTCTTTAGGTAGAATTGCTAAAGTTAAGTTCTCTCTAAGGCTGCTTTAAGACTACAGTAGTTCAATACCTTACCATGTCAAAAGTTTATCTCTAATTAGCAAATCTGAAACAGAATACCTCCACTGGTCACAATGGAGAGCAGGTTTCCATCATCATATATATTAACAGAGTAATTTAACATCTCAGCTGTGCCAAAGGAACCATATTCTTGGGCCTCTTTGTAGTTTCTCAATACGGTAGATTTACTCAAATCCCCATCTTCATTCGAATCAATGCAGGCTCTGTAAATTGAGAATAGAGTAGATAGTGAAATTTACCTATTTTCTTTGGCTTTCTAAAAATAACGTGGTATGGTTTATTAGGTACCTTCTTACTGTCTTGTCTGTTTTGTCACAACAAACACAGTAACTGCTGGGTTTAGAGTCTTCTGTTTCAAAGTCACCAGTAAAGACTAGGTAAGAAGCTTAAAGGAACCAGCCTTTAAATGAAGGCATGTATAAAGGAGTTTAGCAACACCGTCCGTCACAAAACTCCAGGCAGAAAACCATCTAGCCACTTAAGAAATTAGACCAAAGCTTAGCCTAGAGCTTTAGACTAGTTCAGGATGATTATGACACATAGCCTAGGCCTTATTCCCTTCTGCTTCTATTAGAATTGGTTTCATGAATACAACAGTGTATGCAGCCTCCTTGAAACTAGATGAACTATAGACTGTGCCTCATCCCCATAGTTATAACAGCCTTAGGCAAACATTTCTTACACAAGTACTTTCTACATAGTTTTATAGTTGTCCTCCTGTTCGTTCTTTCCCCATTTTATTACCGCTATAATTTTTAAAATATATATTCCAAATACTACAAAATATCCGATTACAGCTAAATAAAATAAAAATCATACATGGAATGCACATCACTTAAAGGTCAACATTATGTTTTTAGCTATTAGGCCTTTTGCAGATTTGCTAGATAAGAAGAACGGTGCTTTAAACAAGCTAGAGTCAATCACAATTGCTATAGTGAATTAATGGAAGCCCACTAGTATAGAGAGGGCATTTCTTATAGATACTATTTCATTAACAAACTATGACAGTTTGGATAGAACGATCTCTGAAACTGTCTGTTTGTTTTTATGTAAACCCTAATCAATGTGGGCTAAAATGATTTATGGCATTTCAAAAAAGACACGCAATATAGGAAAATATAGGAGACTGAACACTAATGGCGAAAATGAGACAAACAGAAAACAAGTAGCATTATCAAATGGAATTAGGACTGAGATTAACAGGTAAAATATATTCCACCAAATGTCCCCATTTGCTAGACAGAGTAGCACTTTTGGTTCCTAAAAGCATGTAACTGGCCAGTATCCATCCTGGCAATCATCTCTGAGGTCCTCTGTTTCTTTCATCCAGCCCATCAGACACTCAAAATTCCTGGCAGTTCCTCCCTCATCCTCTTGACTTTCCCCTCTACCTCAAGCCCTGCCCCTACCCTCTCTGCTAACTTGAGCTGATCCTTCAATGAAATCTTTCATGATGCTTCTGAGATGGGCTCAGATGTTCTCATACTTGCTTCCAGAGTCTAGAGTCCATGGAAGAGCTTCTCTAGAATCTGCCTGGTACAAAGAAGGTACAAATACTTGCCAAAGGATGAAAGAACGAAGGAATCAACATCTTTAACAACATTCTCACAGCAAATACATTGACATATTCCACAGATCAGTTTCCTGTAACCACCATCAATATGAAGTGACTCAACATTTAAGCACTATATCAAAATATCAATAAAAAATTGAGAGACTTCCCTCAATAACGCCACAGAGGGCAAGTATGCATAAGGTACAAGGGTACGACTTTCTGAAGGTGGCTGGCTTAGTTCAAGGACAACTGTCAGAATAGCAGAAAGGGAACATGGAAATGAGGTTCATGGGTAGGATAAGAGTACCTGTGTGTGTGGG